GAGTTTATTGTGACTCCTAAATCTGACTGAGAGGGCACAAAGTCAATATCACTTCCAGAAAGTTTATAGAAGAAGGTATTGAATGGCAAGTTATCCAGCACGTTTCTTTGCAGGGACACAGAGAGGGCTTTGCACTTTTGTGGGTGGAACTTCATTCGATTTCTCACTGACCAATCATACAATCTATTGATGTCATTTTGGATTATGTGATGGTCAGGGTAACCAAGAATCTCCCTCCAAATTTTAGTGTCATCTGCATAAAGGGCGATATTGGTGCCTTCAGAGACACATGAGAACATGTCATTTATAAATATAACAAACAATAAAGGGCCAAGTATAGAACCTTGAGGGACACCAGACCGAACTGGTAGAGAAGAAGACGTTTGGCCTCCTATCACTACTTGTTGTTGTCGCCCCTCAAGATAGGACTTAATAAATTTAAGCATTAGTCCATCGACATTAAAAATATTCTTTAATTTACTTAAAATGAGGTCATGCGAAACGCTATCAAAAGCTTTCGCAAAATCAAAATATATTATATCAGTCCTGGACCTGTTATTCAGTGCAAGTGCAAGATTATCTGTGAAAGGTATCATTTGGGTTGTGCATGAACGTTCATTAACAAAGCCGTGTTGTCGGTCATCCAACAGATCAGAACATGCAGCGTATAATGCAGTCTTTATGCACCTTTCAAAGACTTTCATTACAAGAGATGTTAACGAAATAGGCCTGTAGTTCTCAACCGAAGACTTATCGCCCTTTTTGTGCACTGGTACTACAAGTGCCAGCTTCCAATCAGAGGGTATGCATCCGCTCGAGAAAGACAGGTTAAATAAAACACTAAGTGGGTATGCAAGGCTTTGGGCACAGTTTTTGAGGACTTTCCCATGAATCCCATCAGGGCCAGGGGCCTTGTTAGGATTTAACTTTTTAAGAATTAACAGAACATCTTCTCTACTAAACACAAGACTTGAAAAACAATCATCACGAAAATCTATGTCAATGCCATAATCGCTCTCTTGAGAAAACTGCTCATAAAAATATTCGTTAAAAAGGGCAGCTTGATCAGATGGATTGTTTCGAAAGCGATTATTATATTTGACAGTTTCAGGGATCCTGGTTGACTTTGATTTAGATTTAACGTAGGTCCAGAATTTCTTGGAGATAAGAGCATCATCGGAGTCATCCTCAACACTGAGTCTCATTCTTTCGTCCATCATATTTTTAAATTTTGTTCGAAATGCACGAAACTTTTGTTTATGAGACTCAGAGTTGCTCCCCTTATGCCTTATCCTCCATTTCTCCTTATTTCGTAGGAGACGATCACATTCGGAGTCATACCATGGAGGCTGGAACTGAGACTTAATGGTCTTTTTAGGGATCCATCGGTCACAGGCTGCATCAAGAACTCCTCTGAATCGACTCCAGGCAAGATAAGGATCATTACACCCAAATATACTATCCCAATCGATGCTAAATAACTCAGAATTCAGGCCCCTAAAATTACCTTTACTATAATTAAAGATCTTTCTTTTAGGCTGCTTAATATACTTTGTCTTAACATCAATGTCAAATGTGATACAAAAGTGGTCGGACATACACATTTCGTTTTGATCTAAAACTTTAACATTCTTAATAAGGTTCTGAATGTTAGTGAACACAAGATCTAAGGTGTTGCCTGACTTGTGAGTAGGGGAGCTAATAAGTTGTGTATGTCCGAGGTCATCAGTGAGAAAATTTACAAAGCTAGAATGTAGCTGGCAAGTTGACTGACCATCTGGCCAGGAAATCGAAGCTAAATTAAAGTCCCCTACCAGAATATGCCTTTGCAACTTTCTGGCAGATGCTAAAGTAACAAAATGTTTCTTGAAAGATTCAAAATTATCTAAGCCAAGCGTTCCTACTCTATAGAATGTAGATATGCAAAAGTTTCTTCCACACTGAGTCTTAATTATGATGGATAATAATTCAGCTTGAACGCTAACCTTTGAGAACTTTAGACTCGAAATATCAATGTCTGTTCTATGGGCAATCAGAACACCACCACCGTTTTTTCTGAATTTCTTGGGCTGGGTTGCATCCACAGGATGCGATCTTAAGGATCGATCAAGCCTAAATACTTTGTATTTGTCAGGGAGCACCTCATTACTGAGAATGGAATTTTTCAGCCATGTCTCGTTTAGAATAATGATGTGAGGCTTATGTTTGTAGATATAACCATGGAATTCATGTATCTTGGTCATATTTAGTGGTGGTGTTCCTGATGCTAGATCGCGGGTATTTAGGAAACCATGGACATTATTGTAAACAACGGATAAATTTGGTCCAGGGTTCAGTAAGGAACAATTACAAATTACTATCAGGGAAATATTAAGGAGAGATAGAAAAACCAGACCACACCTAGACATGACCCCAAGCCAGCTGCTGGTAACACCGAAAAGTAACTTAACAGTCTGTTTCGGTGACATGGTAGGTGACAGTTCGGTTTTTGTGGTAGATAGCAATTTTACAGAAATTGCAGCTAAGGCTGTCCCAATGCCCCTCTCCCCCCTATACACAAGTTTAAAGTGTCTGAGAAAAATGGTACAAAATATTACCATAAAGTAAAGATTTATGGATGACCTCAAACATGGTACAGAGTGTATTTTAGGTTGGAGGGGAGCACTAGGGAGTGTATTAGCATCGATAGTCAAAGAAAATATATACAAAATAACATAGAAATAAAATAGACCCAATAGAGCACATAACATGACGAGACAGAAGACAGGACAACAAATTTTCCCCGTTACCTCTATTACTTTTACTGATGATAACATACCTAGAAAACATACCAGTTGCAACACGGTGTTGTTGAGCTGATATTCCCATGGAACTTATAAGTATATTATTAACAGAATTGTGTCTCGCCGTTGTGTTTTGTTAGGTATTGTGCTATAATATGAAGTAACATACATTATGTTATCACTTCGTTTGAATACATATAAATAACATCCAAATGATCAGATCCAATAGGATACTGATGCAGGCAATGAAAAATTGAATTGAATTACCACATCAGTATCCCAATGGATTAAACCACTTTGAGTGTATAATTCTGAGATAGAACTTTGCCAACACTGGCATCCCAGCCTTGGGGCTGGGATGAATATCATAAAAGCCCCTATTGTCACATTTAGGAAATAATCTCTCGTTTCTGTTTCCATAGCGGTCTAAGAAAGCCCAAAAAACATCAAGGTAAAACAGTTTATGTCTAGAGCAGCGATCAAAGATCAAATTATTCATAGCACAAACATTACCAGGGATTTTCTCTTGTCCGTTGGGGTGGACTGGTGGAATTGCTTGTACAAAAACACGTGCATTAGGATAAAGTTTTTTTGCTGTCTTCATAAGGTCACTCACAGGGGTCTTGAGATGATTGACACCCTGGGTACAGTACCGGATGTCGTTGGCACCGAAGCTTAAGAACAGTTTCTTTACCTGCACAAGAGGGTTCTTTGTATGAAAGGCCTCAATAGAGTTCTGTATAGCTGAGATCTTAAGCCCACCCTTAGCTATGTTGGTGACAGTTTCTTTACCTCTACTGAGGCGATCAGCGTCCAATCGGGCAGCAAAGGAGTCACCAGCAATGAGGATGATAGACTTCTGGTGTTTGTGGGAGTCTGTGATGGGGGCTTTTGGAGATACTTTATTAGGACTGTCGGATGTAGGAGAGGGAAGAATAGGAGATGAAGGGGAAGAGGAGGGTGTGGTTAACTTTCTGAAGGAGAGACTATACCTCCAACAAATTTCATTGTCAGAAGGTGCATCTCCTGGAGCAATCCTGTGCCTCATGACTTGCTGTGCACCAGGCTTGATACTATACTATACTATTAACTTGGTTGCATGATGCTGCATTGCAGGGTGGTATTGTTTGAGCTTCATGCCGAGATCATGCGATGAATTTGATGACATGGGAATCATGCAGAGGTTCAGCTGGTATTGCTATCAAATACCATAATTATTAAATACAACATTTTATGTTATGCTTACTAATTCACCTTTTCTTGGTTTATATCTTAACAAGGTGACTTTAGTGATAGCCTAAATATATTCAGGCTTGAGTCCTTAAAAGTTTAATATCTATAATTCTTGTCATGATTTCATTTAGGCAAAACAGTCTTGATCGTGAATGATTGTCTGTAAACAAAATGTGTGATATGAAAGCAAAAAGAAGTCTGTTAGTCTATTAACCACTCCATTTTTATGATGATATGGGATCCAGTACAAGACACCTTGCTGGGAGGAATATGTTCTCTAAAAACATTCAATTTGTTCACTAATGTTCCCTTGTTCTTAAAGGTGCTGCCCTGGCTTTATCACCTTCACCAGGCACCACTGTACCTTCTCTTCCCCCTCATTGCATAAAAATTTCAAAGCCATGTTAATTTTGAAAAAGTTTAAGTTTAAGTGACAAGATTAACCTGAAGGAAAATTAAATTGAAAGAGGTTAATTTAACCTGTTTGGAAGTCAAGAGAGCAATAAAATTGATAATTTTGCTCCAAATTTTTTGCCTGCGGTCAGTATTCCTTCCAGTGATCATCTCCAAAGCAAAACTTTTTTGTTTGAAAAAGTTCGAGTGAAAAGATTAACATGAAGGAAATTTAACTTGAGAAAGAAATTTTACCTGTTTGAAAGTAACAGAGAGCAGGTTTGTGTGTTTGTCGCCTGTCTGGACTCTTGGAGATATGCTATCTGTGATATGCAATCATGGGCTATATTCTGAAGTTGCTAGGTGACAAGCCTATGATTCCAGATTATTTCACAAGATTATTGAACGCAACATGATATTTAATTCAATTTCGTTTTGAATTGTTCATGTTCGTTAATATTTGTCAATTACCTTGATATAAAACAATTTAACCTCAATTGATATATAAGTTTTGCTATATCATCTTGATTTTCTGTTCCAAATGCTACAATATTATTCTGTCATTGTACCAATTTTACCACACCTAGGTAATTCAACATGTCGTCTTCGTCGTACCACATCACCACTCTTCTTGAGAAGGTATGCTATATTTCGGTTACCAGGTTACCAGGTTACCAGGTTACCAGGTTACCAGGTTACCAGGTTACCAGGTTACCAGGTACCACATCACCACTCTTCTTGAGAAGGTATGCTATATTTCGGTTACCAGGTTACCAGGTTACCAGGTACCAGGTTACCAGGTTACCAGGTTACCAGGTTACCAGGTACCACATCACCACTCTTCTTGAGAAGGTATGCTATATTTCGGTTACCAGGTACCAGGTTACCAGGTTACCAGGTTACCAGGTTACCAGGTTACCAGGTTACCAGGTTACCAGGTTACCAGGTACCACATCACCACTCTTCTTGAGAAGGTATGCTATATTTCGGTTACCAGGTTACCAGGTTACCAGGTTACCAGGTTACCAGGTTACCAGGTTACCAGGTACCACATCACCACTCTTCTTGAGAAGGTATGCTATATTTTGTTTCTTGTAAAAGTTTGATTATACATGATTTTTAATTCAATAATGATCTTAGATCAGCAATAATATTTACTACATCTACGAGACGGTTCACGTAAAACTTTTAATTTTTGCTAATCGCAAGTTCACATAAAATCATGAGATAATGATGCCAATCAGTTACTCGTTTTATATTTCAACTGACTTACTTGACTTAAGGCGGGTGGTATTCCCGAGATCCATTGACAACAGTTCTCCACAGCTTTCTGTCCTCCATCAGTCTAGCTATCTCATCTACTGACTTCAGCCCAGTATCTGCTTTTAGGTTATCTAGTAGTGTTAAATGAGGTCGCCCCCTGTTAGTATGCCCATGACTCGGCTTCCAGAGGATCAGTTTGTTCAGTGTCAGCTCCGGATGTCGGTGAGCATGACCTGCAAGTCTGAGCCTTCGTTGGGTTATCTTGGAGCTGACTTTGGGAAGATCACCGTACAGGCTGTGGTTGCTGACATGGTCTCGATATTGGTTGATGTTAAGGGCCATTCTTAACATTCGCGTATAGCAACCATCAACCATCTTCTCTAGCCTTTTCGTCATTGTCCAAGTCTCGGAACCGTACAGTAGCACCGACTCCACTAGTGCTGTAAACACTCTGATCTTGATAGACTTTCTAAGCTTAGAATTCCAAAGCTTTTTGAGTGTGTGGCATGCTCCCCATGCTCTTCCTTTCCTAACCCTGATATCACTCTCACTGTCTCTGATTCTAGAACCCAGATAAGTGAAGTCTTCCACATGCTCTATTGTACTGTTACCCAGGGACTTGATGGTATCAGGGTTCTCGATGTTCTGAGTAATGAATTTGGTTTTCCCTTCATTCATTCTAAGTCCCACTGTAGCAGCAACCCTTTCTACCTCTAGCATCAGCGTCTCTGCCTCCTTTACAGTATCTGCTATCAGAGCAATGTCATCTGCAAAACCAGTGTCTGATATCTTCTCCGCCTTAACTCTCCTACTCCTATAAGGCTTAATGGTAAATCCTATTTCAGGGTGCTTGCTTAAGGCTTGTCTCATGCAATAGTCAAGGGCTATAATGAACAAGTATGGTGCTAACGTATCCCCTTGAAGAACTCCTGCCAGGATATCAAATAGCTCAGTATCCCCATCAGGTGTAATAACTTTGCCCTTTGTGTTTACATAGAGTAGATTAATGATATCCACAATACTGTCTGGTATCCCATAGGCCTTTAGTATTTGCATCAAAATTCCCCGGTGAAGTGAATCAAAGGCCTTCTTAAAATCAACAAACACCATAGCTGCCGGTAGGTTTCTCTGTCTAGCCCCCTCTAGTATCCTTCTGAGTGCCAAGATATGACTAGTAGTGGACCGTCCTTCCCGAAAACCATTCTGAGTGTCCCTAAGTACCCCTTCTATGGCCGGCTGGATCCTATTAAGCACCATTCTATTAAGAGTCTTTGCTACAAGTGAAGTCAAAGATATCCCCCTCCAGTTTCCAGGGTTTGTCAAGTCTCCCTTTTTGGGGACCGGAATGATGTTGCTTATCCTCCACTGATCTGGCGCAATACCATCTGTCAGGGCTTTGTTGCAGAAGGACAACACGATTTCATCCAGATCGCATCTTTTGAGGACTTCAGGTGGTATACCGTCATCACCTGGTGCTTTACCTTCTTTAATCCTGAGTTTAGCAGCTTTGAGCTCCTCTAGAGTAAAAGGTTCTGTACTGATGTTGAGTCCTTCAAATTGAGTCTCGATCCTAGGATGTTCGTTTTCCACATCAGGTGTACTCCCTAAAAGATTCGTGAAATGCCTAAGCCAATTTTCCTTCCTCTCTTCGGCTCCGTTGCCCCTTATTTGAGTTGCCCCCTTGGCCTTCCTACCAGTAATCTCATTTATGACATTCCAACTTTCTTTATTTTTGCATCTGTCTACAGCCATTTCGACCCTTTTAACCTTGGCAACTAGATCTTCCTCAAAGATGTCCTGGTACACCTGATCCAGTTCAGTTTTAAGTACGTTAACAGAGAGTCGACTGTCTTCACTAGGATCCCGGTGATAGACAGTCTCTGCTTGCTGCAACGCTGTACGCACGTTTTGAACTCGCTGATCACCCGCGAAACCGTCACGTCTCTTCTTTTCTCTCTTCGGCAGTATGGCTTTGTTGGTATCAGCAATCGCATCAACAAAATGCCCATACAGTTCCGTAACCTCACTTTCATCAGTTTGCTCGCATAAAGCAGAGTACCGATTCTTGACTTCTACTGCATATCTCTTCTGTAGGTCTTCATCCGATTTTAGTACTCCCCAATTATACCAGTCCTTGCCAAAATGTGTTTGTCAAAAGTTCAAATCTTGCTTCAGATGGGTGACGCTGACAAAGACTTTCGATACATGGCACTCACTGATCTAATGAGTGAGCTTCAGAAAGAGAGTCTATCACTTGACAGTGATACTGAAGAAAAGGTATTAATTGGGTTTTAAATAGATTCGTTATGCAATATACAATAATATTAGCTTTCTTTCTGCTGCTCTTTTAAAATTAAAAATTGAGTATATAATGCTCATAATGCATTCTATATGAACTTCCAATATTTATTGCCAGTCCACAACTTTTATTCAATTATATAATGGGGAGGTGGTTTGTTTTGACAATGTGGCTGAAATTTAATTTGTTGATAGTTTCAGCTGAATGATTTATTGCTGCAACGTACCAAAACAAATATCCACAACCTCTACCCATATGTCTGAAAACTAGACTAAACACAGTTTATCCACTAAAGAAAACGTACAAATTTCAGATATGTGAGCGTCTCCTTGTGCTGTTAGGAGACAAGAACGGTGAAGTCCAGAACTTAGCGGTGAAGTGTCTGGGACCGCTGGTGGGCAAGGTGAAAGGGAACAGGGTGGAGAACATTGTGGATGTGCTGGGGAACAACATGCTGAGTCAGAGCGAACAACTCAGAGGCATTTCAACTATGGGTAAGTATTGACTGGGTAATTTTGATGTGCATTTTGTCCCTAAAAATTCCACATGATTGATATGTGAGAAGATTAATTACAAAAATGCACGGTTTTCACGGTTTTCAAGAGCTGGTATTAAAAATGCTGGTATTTTGAAGTACGGTATCTCCGTGTTTAGAGTATGTCACGAAAAATTAAAATTATCTGATCACTGATATCATAGAAAGTAGGAAATGAGAATTATAATTTACAATACAACATAATATGCCGTCATGTCTTGTGTGGGTAGAATTTAAAATATGCGACTACAAAGTTATAAAATGCTCAGCTTATCAGAGATGATCAGATAATAATATTGTACTTTGATCAGTTAACATATTATGTACAAGCAGCTAACTGTAACGTGTTTTCTCCAACGAAACAATTTAAGTTTCCAGAATCGTAATTTAAGAAGCCCGCACTTATGAGGATCAATACAATCGTGTTACAAATTAATATATAAATAGAAGTGTAAGAGTAGATTGTAATGTAGCTTGGTCATCTCACGTTATTATCCTAATTGGTAATTATGTACATGCATAATACTTAATTAAGTAATTATGTACTTACATTAACATTGTTACTTAGCTACTACACGTGTACTCGATCTATTATTAATTACATTATTTAAATGTGAACATTCAAACTCGAGATCTGAAACGTTAACTTTATGATTGGTGTGGGTGCTGAAACGTTAACTTTATGATTGGTGTGGGTGCTGAAACGTTAATTTTATGATTAATGTGGGTGCTGGAACGTTAACTTTATGATTGGTGTGGGTGCTGGAACGTTAACTTTATGATTAATGTGGGTGATGATACGTTTACTTTATGATTGGTGTGGGTGCTGGAACGTTTACTTTATGATTGGTGTGGGTGCTGGAACGTTAACTTTATGATTGATGTGGGTGCCGAGCTCATTCGTTTGGAGAATGTTAAACATTTCCATCTTTACTACAGCCGGAAAAAGCAGCCACTTAAACAAAGAATTTACAATACAATTACATTTAAAACTTGCAATTTGAGTTCCAGTTTTTCGTTGCTGTGGAGATTCAGCTTCTATTTTTTCTACCATATAATCTGAGTTGGATAACCAGATTAAATTAGACGGTATTGATTTATCCCAATCTGAGTTGGATAACCAGATTATATTAGACGGTATTGATATTTGGGCCTCACCTCAGGTCTGATGATGGTGATCAGTGAGCTACACAGCTCGTCCCTTGCAGCTCCTGTCAGTAGGCGGATATGTAGCAAACTCACTACTGCTCTTACCTACCCCAAATTAGAGGTTAGTAATAGTAATTAGTTAATATATTATCTTATTTTCAAGTGTTTATCTTATTTTGTAATATATTCGGATTTTAGTAATCATCTTTTTATTTTAGTAATAATTCTTAATGATTTTAGTTTACTTATTTAGTAGTAATCTGATTATGGCATTGGATAAAATCAATAGATAGGTTTAGAGTTATAAATATCTCCGGGATTTCGACGCGGGATCATATTATCACTCAGCCCGGCCCGCTGTTAGATAAACATCTCAAGGTGATATCATCCCGCCCCGGAAATTTGTATAAACCCGGCCCGCTTTTTAGTCGTAACTGATGTTTATCATTCAATTCTCCGACTTACAATAATCAATGATACTGCTGATTAGAACTCGATAATAGTAGAACAGTTAGACGCGCGATCACGTGGGCGCGTCACGTGCGTACCACGTGCCACCAATAGCATACGCCGAGTCTATACCACGTGACACGAAAGCGCACCACGTGATATGAAACATCGTAACCGTCCACTTCTTTTACACGCAAATTCCTGGGAACGTTGCCAAAGCAGCTAATTCTTGGAATTTCTCCAACGCGTGGCGTGAGAAGTTGGCGACTAGCCAGCTACCCTTGTCCGTGCCCTAAAAATAGTATTGTTTTGCTTGCTCTCCTTCCAGCTCTTGTTCCTGCTAACGTTCAAGCTATTGCTCCACTATGACAGATCGGTTTGACATTTCTTCTAAAGTATAAATCCCTTGTCGAAATCGCCGGAGATAATTATAATCCATAAACACTTCACGCTCAGGGCTAAATAAATGTAATCCCTCAGCTGGCGCTTCGGGATTACATATTAACACAAAACTCGTGCGCTGCGCACACTCGTATGTGTTTATCAGATCATCCCGCTAGCGCGGGATGATCTGTTATATAAACCCTTTGCGTGGCGGGTTTATGTTATTGTAGATCATTACTGTAAATTACTTCATTTTCTGCTCTCCAGGTACAGATCCAGCTAGAAAGTCTGGACATCATGAGTGAAGTGCTGCACAAGTTTGGCAGTCTAGTCCAGTCACAGCACGACAAGGTTCAGGCGGCTCTACTCCCACTACTTGCTAATAACCGCGTTGCTGTAAGGAAGAGAACCAGCGTAGCTATAGGTTAGAGTAGCTAATGTTAGGGTTTATTAGTTGCAGGGACTTTGGGTTAAATTAAACCCCAATTAAACCCCAATTAAACGTTAATGATAGTGTTCTCACTTTGTTTTTCTTTCAATTTGTTTTGTTGAGGATACTAGTTTCAGGTATCACAGCTGAAACTTTCTAATCTTGAAGTTAGTGATTGCACAATAATAAACTGTGCAGGGTATTTAGTACAGAACATCAGCAATTCCCTGTTTGAAGAGCTGATAAAGCATGTGATGGATAACCTTGTTAACCCTACTAAAGTCCTTCAGAGCTACATCACCTGTATCAACGTCATCAGGTACTTCTTCTTACCGCTCTAGAGTTTTAGAGTTTTAATGTTTCTAGCAATATCCTGTATCAACGTCATCAGGTACTTCTTGTTTACGTCATCAGGTACTTGCTGTTACGGCTATAGAGTTTTAGAGTTGTAATGTTTCTAGCAATATGCATTTTGTCTTTAAGTCCAAACATTAGCCGCAGTTTTGGGTTTGTTTATCAACGATTTATTATCATTTCAAGTGAAAACTGTAAATTCCATAGTGAATATAGCGTTATTTCAATAACAACCATACTCTTAGTCGACATGCTGGGCACAGGTTTGGCAACAAACTAAAGATAATAGTTCCTAAAGTAGCAGAGTTTGCTCATTCTGCAGGAGAGAATGATGACCTGAGGGAGTCTGCCATTCAGGTAAGCAGATAATTGTACAATGTACAATGTACAATGTACAATGTACACTGTACAATGTACACTTTACAATGTACAATGTACAATATACAATGTACAGTGTACACTTTACAATGTACAATGTACACTTTACAATGTGCAATGTGCAATGTTCAGCACAGTTAATAGGTATACAATTTAAAAAAAACCGAAGCAGTCAGTTTGTCAGCTAACATTTCGTTTGTCAATTGCATGTTCTGGTTATTCATCAAATTTACATAATATTACACACAAATATGTAACGAATACTTGTTCAGGTTCTGGAGTCGTGTGTACTATGGTGTCCCGGAGAAATGCAGGAGTTTACCGCTCAGATAGTAGACATCTCCCTTACTTACATCACTTACGATCCTAACTATAACTACGACAGTGAGGATGAAGAGGATGAGGAGTATCTGTACGTTTTGAAATATTTCCTTGTGTTTTCTTTGGGCTAACACCACAATTATAATCAATAAATAATTGTGTTTTTATTGTGTTGTTTGAGGAATAATGCTATTTCTAAGTGATGCCTAGCCTCGAGGGTATTACAAACAGTTTGTGTACATTAGTTATACATGGTCTTCATTGACGAATGAGACGTAACCTTACAAGTTTTCAAGGTTTAAACTGACTAAATCAGGTTAAAATATTCACATCCCATACATTCACTCAATAAATGTATTTATTTGTAGTTGTGAAACTAGTTTAAAATAAGCTAGTAGTCGTCAGTATTACCTTATTACATGTATTATACATTATACTGATATACTCAGGGATGACGAGGACGACTACAGTGATGACGAAGACATGAGTTGGAAAGTTAGAAGATCTTGTGCGAAGTGCCTCTCTGCTATTGTCCAGGTTATTTATATTTCGTGTTTGAAAAGTTATTCTGTTTTGAAGTTTCAGCAACAAATACAGCAAGATTTAAATGAACACTACTACTCAGTACTCACCTCATTCAATACACCCACAAAATAACAATATAACCAGTATAACTGCAGTCTAACATTCAATACAACAAACAAGATACAAGGGCAGATCACAGCTTGGTAACTGCTTGGGCGGCGATCGTGTTACCACTACACCACCCGGCCTCATTCAATACACCCACAAAATAACAATATAACCAGTACAACTGCAGGCCCGTCCCGAGCTGCTATGTGATATCTACACCCGCATATCCCCTGTCCTGATATCCCGTTTTAAGGAGCGGGAGAAGAGTGTCAGACTGGACATTTTCAACACTTACTCCTGTATCCTCCGTCAAACTGCTGCCAGTAAACACGATATTGCCCCTGAGGACGAGATGCAGGATGTCACGTGAGTGCAAGTGGGGGGCCGGGGGGTGTAATTAGCTGATTAGTGTTTTGTAATGCTCCGAAATTATAACGAATTAAATTTAGTGATCTGTCGATCATGATGTGGTTGTTAGAAATAACTTCTGATCATTTACAATTTTGTTTTATAAACTGAACCTGAATGTCTAGTACTTACAATCTATTTTGTATCTACAATTTACACACCCGTCCACCCGTTCAGGCCGCTAGCCCAGCTGGCAACACAAGTAGATGCCATTGTACGTGGTCTAGAGAAACAGTTGTACGACAAGAACGACAAAACACGACAGAGTTGTTTCTCCTTGTTGGGCGAGCTGGTTACTGTACTGCCTGGCTGTCTTACCTCTTATGTGGATATTCTTCTGCCTGCTGTTCACAAGTCTCTTAGGTATTATACTAGGGGTAACTGGGTGTTGTATACTTTAATACTTTCAACACTACTATATAACAAATAATTTGAGGAAACGATATAACAGAGTCGATATATTTTAATGTTGCCATGGGGTGGCAAGTCCCCATACATCGTGGTCCAGTAGTTTCATTGCGTCCTAATATTAGTGATACTACTACACTTTATACAGTGACTGATTAACTGATTAAGCATTGTTATCTGAACAAAACAATAAACTGCTATAATATATTATCCTTTCCACCAGTACAAAAGGAGCAAGTTGTTACATAAAGATAAGCTCTCTGTCCTTCCTCCGCACACTTCTCACTCATCACTCTCCTGAAGTGTTCCAGTCTAACCTCCCTGATACACTCTCCTGTGTTATTGGTGCTGTTCAGGACACTTTTTACAAGGTATCATTATTTTCACACAGTATAATTAGATGGTGGGACCAACTAATGTTTTGCTTCATTTTTTATATAATTATATATAATATGCATTCTTTTCAGAACTCATTTTTGCAATGGACATCATTTGTTTATCGATATAATAAGATGATCATACAATTCTTGTAATTCTTGTTACTCCTGTAACTCTTGTAACTCTTGTTACTCTTGTAACTATTGTTACTCTTGTAACTCTTGTAACTCTTGTAACCCTTGTATAAACTGATGATTCCACCATTAATTCCACAGGTCATATCGGAAGCTCTGCTGGTAAGCGAACAGCTAGTATTTGTAATCAGACCCCCTAACAGTAATAATCCGCAAGTATCAGAGCTATGTACCGCTATTTTCAATGCCACCTTGTACAGATTGAAGGAGGCTGATTTAGATCAAGAGGTCAAGGAAAGGGCTATAACTTGCATGTAAGTACTGTTCATGAAAAATAACAGAAAAAATAACAAGAAAGCTTTATCAATATGTTTATCATTTTGATGACGATTGTGATTAATTAATATGATGAAATCTGATTAAGACATAAAGATGATCATATCTAATCATTATATACATTAATCAGTATATACTTGTGATTCTCTATATATTGGTATATCGTTTGTCTCCATGTTAAAGTAAATCGTCTTGCAGGGGACATTTGTTGGCGAATATGGCAGATTTACTGCAGTCGCAACTAGCAATAGCTTTGCCGCTGTTTTTGGACAGACTGAGAAACGAAATTACAAGACTCACGACCGTGAAAGCTCTTAGTGTCATCGCCAAGTAAGTTTGTAATTGTAATTAAAGCCTATAGTTTCAGCAATATACCAGGTTCAGTAATCTACCGGTATTGTTCCGAGTTGGGTCTTCTGCGCCGTGTGTGCCGGTCACATTTTGATTGTTTCTTGACTGTTATTGGAGCAGGTGATAAACTTTTTATAATTAAAAGTTGCATTGCGCGCATCGAGAGCAATTGCTGCACATGCTGCAAATGCGCGTCCTATGAAATGATCTTGATAGCTGATTGACTGTTGATGTTTGAAAACGGTTTTTTCTGGTATTTGGTATATACCCTTTAGGGCATCCAAGTTCAATTAATATATAAAGACAAATCCTATTAGGCACTCAAAATTCATGAAAATCTGCAATCGTCAGGGATTCTTTCTTCAGCAAATAATTTATAATACTCTGCTATTCTTTAATCTTGATAAAATTACATTTGCTGCAGTCGTTCACAATTTTCGGTTAGATTTCCTGGTTTTTATGAGTTTTCTGCTCCTTTTTAGATATATCGAGTGACAATTAGAGCTTGTCATAGCAGAAATGAAGCTCAGTATTACAATGTCTACAAAATGTTTGCCTTGCTCAAAACTTAATTTTAAAATGTTTTAGTCCGGATGAACAAAAGAAAATATGTAATGATAACCATGAGGTAAGAAAATATCTTCTTTCTTATCAAGTGCCTGAACTATAGAAGGATTATTGACAGTTTTTTGACGTTTCTATAAACCACAAATCCTCTTAAAGATGTCCTTTGTCACCTACCAGAATAAAGTCGGAGAATTTAAAAGAAAACATCACCATCTTGGGACAGCTTCATTAAGGGAAATGAATCTTCCTATTAAACGTGTATTTAAACCATGCTTCCTTGAGCAACGACATATGGATTAATCCGTTCTTGAGGATAAAGCAACATGACAGAAGATCATATCTATTGAGGCAAAGCTCTAAAGTCAGACTTAAGAGTATTTTCCTTGCATTGAAAGAGTACCATACTCAACTTCTAACAAAAAATCAATCACCATAGAAACACCACGTTGCTGATAATCATTTTTACTCCAAGATCTTACGAAAAATTGTTATATCTGGGTAAGCAGAACCAAGAATTACTCCCATGAATGTTGAAAAAGCCATACAAATCTTGATGAGATCGTATCATACACATACTTGTCCAGTATGCTTTATGAGATTGCACTTGTTTCACTAGGGATATACACTGGAAAAATAATTATTTTCAAAGTCAAGCTTAAAACAAAATGCTCTTGAAACTCCAGATAATCAGATGAAACCAGAAAATAAAGAAAAACTCCAAGAGTTGATACCATTTCGAAACTGCCTCCCCAAATGTTCTGCCTAAAATTTTTAAAAACTTAGACCTCAAGTCAAGAATAGCTTGCTCAATGGTATGTACCACCTGTCATGTTCTGCTACAAAGTGTAACTCTTTACACAGAGCTCGCCTAGACTAAAGCTGGATTTGAAATCAATGATGTCGTTTTCTGCAAAACATATTAAGACGTTATACATTTTTCCTTTACCATATAAAAATGGAAACCTGTGATAGTGTTTCCCCTAAAATTTTGGAGAACATGAAGATTGTAAGAATCTTCCAAGAAATTGATTTCAGGATGAATGTGAGGTCTCATTTGCTCCAGCAAGTAGGCGTAAGCTGTCCCTTTGTGGGCTATCCCTGAATCTAGCAAACAGCAAAGTGTTGATGAACCTGTTTTCGCTAGCTAATATTGCCCAAAGTACTTCCCTTGTTTGAATACTTAGACGTCTCTATTGTGTAGACCTACCTGAAGCTGGGTTTTTATTATCTGTTTGATAAGCAAGTCTTTGAGGACACTCTCTTAATTTTGACAATCTGTCTGGGTGTCCAATGTATTAATGGAAATTGCTTGCAAACATTGGCCATGTTGTGTTCTTCTCAACTCACTTTTATTAGACAACATACCAGGCCTAACGATGATTGCCTTTCTAAATTGGGCTGCCACATGTCAAAGACAAAGGATTTTATCCACTTATACAAGCATTAAAATAACTCGATAGAGGGATGAAATACATTGCTACTAATTTTGTTCAGCTTGAAAAGTTTTACTTGAAGGGAACAGAATTTTTACAGCAGGGTGTTGCTGAAATAATGGAGGAAGAAACATGCACCACCTCATCTTGTCGATTGTCTTCAGAAAGTTTAGGACACTGCTTTAAAACCTATTGCAAAACTCCTCGAACACCACAGTCATCATCTGACAGACTGTGTCCGACTGACAGATGCAGGCATCAAAGCATATTCTTGATAGTCCTGCCGCTCCTTACCTACAAGAACTCACCGTACCAATTGCAACGAGTTGGAGATAAAAGCATCCAAAAGGCTTTGACTGTTGTCCGAAAGTTGGCAATACCGTCTCTATTGCTTACGTGTGAAAAAGTTGTAACTGATGTTGGTATGGCCATGATTGGCCACTCATCCCACCCTAGATGCTTGATGTTTCCTTGGCTGTTCCACCACTGACTATGGAGCAGGTTATCTTCGTCAATGCCAAAAACTTGACCTATTTATCAATTGCTGAATGCAATCTCATTACAGATATCGGTAAAGAGCGAATGGCAAGTCCCAGAAAAACTTGAAGTATTTGGATATTTCTACTGTACTAGTAGATCATATATGGTAATGAAAATGCTAATTTTGAAAAACAAGGCTTGAACACATTTGAACATTGTGGTTTGTAAATTGATAACTAATACTACCCTAAACCAGCATGGCCAGGTTTTTGCATTTACCTGTCAAACTGAATATTTCAAGAGATTAAAAAACGTAACATATAAAGGAATCAGAAACCTTCGTGTTGGTTTAAAGATCTAAGTATCTTAATGTTTCTTATGTCCCGAATTGACCTAGGTAGCATTGCTAAGTTTTATTCAACAAGGATGGGTACAGTGGTTCATACTTTAAATGTAGGATTAAGTTTTATTAGCTAGATGCCAATTCATTAAATCCTTGAAGTTTAAGGTAAATTTTATGCTTAGAGAGAACAATACTATTTACTGTATATTGTATAGTGAATTTTATTTACATGTTAATGAATACAGTGATTTTTTATAATGTGTTATCCATGATTTTTTATGTACAGAAGATTTTATGAGTGTGACTGTTTTTATTGAGATCAAGAATAGTTTATGACTTTTTACTACTTTTGTTTGACTTGTTTATAACATAATGGTAAACCGTTCATATCAAGTCTCAAGAATTCCATATCAAGTCCTCAAGATTTGAAACATTGCCCCACTCGTTCCATTTTAATTTTCTGTTCTCTTTCCATACATAATCATAATTTAATGGTAAATTTTATTTAGAGTTAAATAAATCCCACCCACCTCATTTAGGACATGTTACAACAGAGACAGCGACTATCAGTAGCACAACCTGAAGCAGAAAAATCGATATGAATATACTTCAATCACCTGCAAAACTTTCAAGCAGAAGCTGAGAAAAAATTCGAAAATGGCAAACGACTTCCAGAAATTGAGGCTTAAGCAAAAAATCGCCAAGCTCAAAGAGTGTGACGTCTTTATCACAAACCAACGTAATAAGTGTTAAGAACAGATCGAAATGAAAATCTGTGACTTTACTTCAAAGGAACAGATGAATCAAGCACGGGGGGAGATCAATGTTAAGTTAAAAACTGCCAGAGGAGTTTGTTTCATAATGCTCTTAAAAATCACTCTGAAAAATCTTCAAACTCTATTGTCCTGGTGAAGAAGATAGAGACTCATTAAGAATGTTAGCTGCTGAAAACATGTAAGCCAGATTCAAGAATGAAAACCAAAATGCTGAAGTGGTTGAAGCTACTGAAAAAAGTGTAGATTCTCTGAAGCTTGTGTCAAAGAGAAAGAATTACCCTTGAAGAACTAGCATTTTTCATCCAAATTGAAATTGAGGAGCACCAAAAATACCAATATGGCTTTAGAAAAGGAATGTTGCTTCTTGTAAATTTGGACTGATGATATTTTCTAGACAGTTAATTGAACAAACCAGTGCATCTCTTCCCTCGAAATAAAGAGAAGAATTTAGGAAAGTGACAAAACAAAGCAGCAGCTTTTATAACATCTCAAGACTCAAAGCTAATGAACTTCAAAATATATCAATGTAACTAAATCAGCCTATAAGAGTGCACAGGAGAATGTAGAAAAACTACAGCAAGAAAGTAAAAACATTTCAGATCAGTTTCAACAGTTTCAAAGATGATGCTGGCCGCAAATTGAGGAACTTCAAACTGAGCTGACTGAGCTTACTGATTCACCTACTCAGCTTGTCGACCAATATATGAGAGGCATCAAAATGATCGTCATTGAGAGGAAAATAGGTCGCTAAAGAAGTGTTTCCAACTGGTCAAATGCTGGAAGAGCTACAGGAACAAGCAAGAAATGATGAAGCTGAAGTGAAGAATCTAACTGATACATGTAGCACAGCAATGAAGAATGAGCTTGAATGAAGGCTTTAGTTGAAGCTATAAAGCCAAAATGCAAGAACTGTCTCGTACCAGATAAGAGATTGAAACTCAGCTTAACTCTATATCGAAAGTCTAATAGTGTTCAATTAAAAGAGGTTGGAATACTTGCAAGAAATCGAACCTCACGTGTCCAATAGAACAAAGGGATAAACAACTAGTAGAGTTAGAAAAATAAATCAAATCTGACCATGACAATCACTCAAAAACAATTTGCATTCTGATTTAGACAAATGGTGTTGGAATATCGTGAATTGAAAAGCAAATGTGAACAACTTGAGCAGGATTCCATCTATGGCCTTGTCCATTGTCGGGAAAAAGATTGTGGAGCTAGGAGCTGGTTTTCTAAAATGAGTCATTTAAACTGTTAGTCAATGATTGTGTTGCTGAGTATGCTACATTTTAAAAGATGAACACGATAACCTCACCAGGACAGTGTCAGTCATGCAAGAAACATTTGACTGCTGCAGCAGTGAAATGAAAATCATTGGAGGAAGTGACGACATCAGGACAAACATACTTGCCAAAAAAGATGCAGCATCTTTAAAGCAGAAAGAACCAAATTCCAATCTCAGCTCAGAAGATAACAGATCCTATGAAATCTTGCTATGAAGTTAGAGCAAAATTTGTCGGACATCTTCAAGAAAAGATAAAGCATAAAAATTAGTGAAGAAAAGATGAAGATCCTGCTGTGACCTAGAGCATAAAGAATTTCCAATTACAAGCTAGAGTCGATCAGCTTTAGATAGAAGTTGACAAATCTACATCGTCATACATTCAGCGTAATTGATCCTCAGATCGTCAACAGAAATTATAACGATAACTGATTGAAGCCACTGAAGTCTTCGTGAAAAATATGTTGGATAAAAAACTTAAACGGTGATTTAGCAAAGTGAAGCATTGATTGTCTAAAGAGTGAAAAACGTCGCATTCCAAAAAGAAGCTGTGAAAAGGAGAATGTGCAATAAAGAGCTCCATTTCCAATAAGGCTGGGATATATCAGGGCATTGGAAGAAGAAATCAGCAACCAAAACAAAATACTGAAGCTTGATGATCCAAAATAAAACATCAACCTCTGCCAACCACTGACGAACTAAATCGTTAAACTTTGAAATCGGACTTTTGACAAGCCAAAAAGGAACTCTTGGAAAAATGTCCTCTTCATCAAGCTGAACAGAAATGAGTGATTCTGAAAGGTTTAAAGTTTGAAGGATTTTTGACTGAAAAGCAAAATGAAGTTGCTGACCCTACATTTGAAAATGGAGCAGTTGAATCAGACAATTCTAAATATCGTTTGCAATATGAGGATCTTAAAACCGCAAAATGGGTGTATTGAAGGACAAACAAAAGAATTTCAAGTCACTAGTCAAAAGTTTAAGAGATAGAAGTCAGTTAAAAATTGCAAATGCGAAGTTAGAACATCTCTAATGCGGAGAAGGGAAATCTGTCGACTATTGATAAACTGAAGAAGGAGATTAAGAAAGCTCAACAAGAGCAAAGTTAAGCTGTTTTATCCAATGAGTCCTCTAAATCCCCAGCAGTTGGTGACATATCTTCCTCACGCCCAATTAAACGACCCAAGATGAGCCAACCCTGAGTCCCTAAAACGCCCACTGTTAGTAGGTCCAAGAAGCGACGTGTTGCATTGGAAGTCTCCCACGTGGCTTGAACCACAGAGAAGAAGAAGCTGATATGACTGTGTTCAAGTCCACTAATTCTAAACCAAACAAAGTAAAGTACCTGTCAATGAGGCAGAATCACCAAAATCAACTACATATGCCCCGCAAAGTCCCTTGCCCAGATTGCAACGATCAAAATCTCCTGGCCCATTTACGGAATTTACTTGCTAAAATACCCCACCCCATCTAGTGCACAAAACGGGGAGTCCAAACTTCCAATGCTTAACTTAAGAGAAAAGAAGCTAATGAAAAGAAGAAACAAAAAATTAAGGTCGAAGCAAGTTTCATGGTTTGATTCAGACTCCTGCATTGGTTTGATGAAATGGGTCAATCACGAAAATCTCAATCAAAAAACTTTTTATACTACCTGTGTGCCTAACTACCAATATTTTTATCGAGTTATTGTTCAGAAACAGTATGTTTAGAAGATGTACACGGATATGGAACCAACAGGTTCAAATCACAGCGACAAATTATATGGTAGAAGTAATGTTTGCCAGTCTCCTGTATTTTATTTTATTAAGATTGTTATTATATTTGTTAAATAAATGGATTAACTAATTTTTTTATTTTTGTTGTAAAATGTATGTTTTCTCAGATTATTTACACAATGATTGTATGGTTATCATTATTTTGCTAACGTTATTTGAATTTCAACTGTACATACTATCTGACTAGTTTTATTTGCATTATTTTGATTTAGCTTGTTAGATTTCATAATTTCATTTCCTGTATCATGACTTATCAGCTGGCAACGAATACTTATTACGCGTTAACTTCGAAGCAGGATTAAACCATAAAAAAGTAACACCACACGCAAGGTGGTCCACAGATTAGAAAACTTTCTGCAGCACGTTACTAAGCACATTCGTAAGAACTCTTAGAAACTATATTCTAATGACTCACGTGTGAATGATTACATGACGGTTAAGCTAAGAAAATGTAATAAACACCATCCCTCTCTCAGTCCGTCCTCTCAGCACCCCCTCTCAGACCCCTCTCAGACCACTCCTCAGAACCCCTCTCAGACACAACACACACAAAGTGGGCCCCACACTGGCCCTCTCAGTGGGAAATTACTCGTCCCTTTGATTCGCCCAGATGTAAAAATCTAATTAAGGTACAGTAAGAGGTTTATTATAGGGTGCAGAAATTTGACCGGGCATATAAGGGGGGGCCACCTAGATATTAACTTCATTACCGCCGTCTGCCGTCCTGACCCCACATTAAACCCAATCGACAGTACAAGAACGTCCTGAAAACTCAAACAAGCTTAATAAAAACACACACAATCATGCACACTAACGATCTAAATTATAGTCACATTATATAAAATCAGCGGTGAATAATGGACTGTTAATCTAATCACAAACATTCTGCAATACACCACATTTTTTGTTTTCCCCCACATTGTCCTCCATCTCTCTCTCTCTCATCTTCTCCTTCTTCTCTCTCTCTCTTCTCTCTCTCCTCTCTCTCAACATTCTCTCTCTCTCTCATCTCTCTCTCTCTCCCCTCTCTCTCTCTCCTCTCTCCTCTCTCTCTCCTCTCTCTCTCTCTCTCTCTCTCTCTATATATATATCTAATATATATACTCCCCTCTCTCTCTCTTCTCTCTCTCTCTCTCTCGGGGTTTGCTTCTCTCCGCCCTCACTCTTCCCTCTCTCTCTCTTCTCTCTATGTATATCTATATCTCTCTCAATCTAAATCTCCCTCCCCCGTCTCAATCTCCTCTCTCTACCTCTCTCCTTCGTCCTTCCTCTCTCTACCTCCCTCTCTCTAATCTAGAATCACAAACAGACAACAGTTCTGCCAATTACACCACATTGTGCCTCCTTTTCCCTCCCTCCCTCCCGTCCCTCCTTCTCTCTCTCCTCCTCCCCTCCCTCCCTCTCTTCCCTCCCTCCCCTCCCCCCTCCGAGCTCTCCCATCCCTCCCTCCCTCCTCCTCCCGTCCCTCCCTCCCTCCTCTCTGCCTCCCTCCTTCCCTCCCTCCCTCCCTCCCTCCCTCCTCTCTCTCCCTCCCTCTCCCTCCCTCCCTCCTCCCCCCTCCCTCCCTCCCTCCCTCCCTCCTCTCACTCTATCCCTCCTGCTCTGCTGCCCTCCCTCCTCCCTCCCTCCCTCCCTCCCTTCCCACCCTCCCTCTCGCTCTCTCCTCCCTTTGCCTCTCATCCTCCCTCCCTTTCGCTCACCTTCCAGATCTCCATCCCATCCCTCCCCTCCCTCCAATCCTCTCCTCCCTCCTTCCATCACTCTACCGGTCCTCATAAACGTTGGTTTTAATCCAGTAAACCCGAGACCCTGTAATCTTCACCTACACTGTAACAGTATAAGTAACCCTGTAACAATAACACTGTAACAGTAACATTGTAACAGTAACACTGTAACAGTAAACAACTGGAACAGTAACACTGTAACAGTAACACTGTAACAGTAACACTGTACAGTAACACTAGTAACACACGAACTAAGTATCACTGTGTAAACAGGGTGAGGGGGTGTGTTTAAAGCTTGGGGACGTGAGGCGTCGTATGTAAACATTTTAGTGATATTCGATATACTCTCTCTCTCTCTCTTCTCTCTCTCTATCCTCTCTCCTCTCTATCCTCCCTCCCTCCCTCCCTCCTCCTCTCTCTCCCTCCCTCCCTCCCTCCCACCCTAGGCCTCCCTCCCTCCCCCCTCCTCTCTCATCCCTCCTCTCTCTCCCTCCCTCCCTCCCTAGGCGGCCTCCAATCGCCTCCCTCCCACCGCTTCCCTTCCTCTCTCTCCCCTCCTCTCCTCCCTCCATCCATCCATCCCTCCCTCCCTCCAATCCCCCTTCCCCTTTCCATCTCTCTACCCTCACTCCCGCCCTTCCCTCCCTCCCTCCCTCCCTCCCACCTTCCGTCACTCTACCTTCCCTCTATTAATATATATATATGTAATGGCGACTTGTTTTTAAAGCTAGTATTTGTGGATTCGAGTACTCATTTCTAGACTTTATAATATTAAAATTAACATCAATTAAAATGTGTTGCCCCTACCTTACAAGCATCATGAATAGGAGGTAAGCTGAACACCATCCATTTTCTTCTCCACCCACGAACCCAACAAAACTAGGGTCTATGATTCCCAGTCCTCTAAACATACCAACAATCGCTATGAGACAATCACTAATAGCCAGATTGAACATGAAATATTTCTGAAAGTGAATAGAATGTGTAAAATCTCTTAAATCAAACTTTTTTGTGTGTGTATTATATTTATCTATATGGTCAGTATATGGTCAGTATTGTAAGTATTGTAAGCATTATATGGTCAGTATTGTAAGTATTGTAAGCATTATATGTTTATATGGTCAGTATTGTAACTACTAACTAGGGAGAGAGACCTCTACTTCAAAGAACTGATTGGCTACGTGCAGACCAGGGAAGGAGCCGGTATTGGATTCGGTGATCAGAGGAGGAAGAAGAACAAAAAGGAGCAACTGGTGGAGATAATTAAGTCTCTGAAAGAAGAGGAGCTCCTTCAAACTCTCTACGATAAGAGAGTCCAAGGAAAGTTTCTAACCTGGGAGAACACCATGCAGCTAGACACTGGCTGGCAAAGCCTGCTGTATACCTTGAGCCCCGAGCTGACAAAGTTCCACCTAAATGCCATCCACGACGTTGCAAGTACACCTAGCAACCTCCAGCTTTGGAACTACAGCTCCACGAACAACTGTCCCCTTTGTGGGCGTCAGCAGTGCAACCTAAAGCACATTCTAACGTGTTGCCCAGTGTCGCTTAAACAAGGAAGGTATAATTGGAGACATGATCAGGTGCTCAGGGTAATCGTGCAACCAATTGCAGAGAAGCTGAGGGAGATAAACAGTGCTACCCCAAAGACAGAAGTAAAGAGAGAGTGGAGGAAGTTCGTATCCGGAAAAGGAACCTACAGGAAACCCGAAGTACGGCTTACAGAAGAACCTCATCTTCTAGAGGAAGGTAACGACTGGAAACTAGTGTTTGATGAGGACGAAAGGACAAGACAATTCCCCCAACATATTGTCAACACAGCTCTCAGACCTGATGTGGTAATATACTCTAACACACTCAGGAAAGTCATCCTGATAGAGCTGACCTGTGGAAACGAGGAGAACTTTGAGGACCAGAGATCCCGGAAAGAGAAGAGATACGAAGAGCTAATGGTGGAGATCGAGACCGCAGGCTGGGAAGGATATCTCTTTACAGTAGAAGTTGGATGTCGTGGATTCTACCACCACACATTACCCCGAATTTTCAACTTCCTTAACATCACCCGGGCAAAGAAGAAGAGGGCACTTAACACAACAGCGGTGGTGTCCCTGAAAGGTTCCTACACTATCTGGCTTAGTCGCTACAACAAGACCTGGAGTGACAACTGGCAGCTGGCTGAAAGACCCTGCCCAGTTTAACCCTGATGAACAGCTGAACGTTGGGCCCTTAAAACGTCGTTGAAAGCTACATCTGGGGTCGTAAGTCCCAGACATCAGAAGAAGTCAGAGAGTGTAGAAGATTCTGCGTCTGAAAAGACTAGAGAATTGAGGTAAATATAGTTGGTTTGGTCTCATTGTAAGCATTATATGGTCAGTATTGTAAGTATTGTAAGCATTATATGGTCAGTATTGTAAGTATTGTAAGCATTATATGGTCAGTATTATAAGTATTGTAAGCATTATATGGTCAGTATTGTAAGCAGCTATACCATTTAGCTGGTCGTGGGATGCTTTATTAGAATGTATTAACTATTATTAAACAGTAGAATCACCTGGTTACTCAGGTGAACCTTTTGTCCGATTATGACAAACATGACGATGACATTCAGCAAGATGCCGCAGAAACTAACCAACGCCAGGGTCCCTCCCTGAAATAGGGAAATCATCAAGCTTTATAGGTGATGCCATAAAGATGACCCGCAATAACTGGCATATCCAGCGCTGGTATAATTTCGTATACGAAGTGAAGTAAAGTGAAGTAAATTTTTTATGATTGTTACAATGTTCTTTTTGAAAGGGAAGTTTTGCCTTCTTGCTGATGACACACTGAAGCTAAGAAATCCATAGCCAGCAAACCTGAAAAAGATCTGACCTTCACCCCAATGAGGCTATAATCACAGAGTTGTGATAAAGTCAATTGAAAAATTACAGTTTTGACTGATTTTTTCACCTGCAACCAATTAGTATGTCAACTATAGATTGGAAATGACACGATTGAGGTGGTGGAAGTTTGATTTCGGTCGGAGGAAGCCCACAGCAGAAAGCTTAACAATACGAAAAGTTGCATTTTCAAAATCCTGTCCCATTTTCAAATATGTAATTTTCTGAGCCCAAATTTGACAGATTGGATGAAATTTTTGTCCAGAAACCAATTAGTTGGTTAATTGATGATGGTATGAAACCAAATTGAGGTACTGGGAGTCAAAATCCCGAATAGAATTGCAAAATCATATTGTCCCAATCTCTGTCCCATTTTCAGTTTTTGAAGATGAAATCTCCAGGACCGAAATTTTACAGTTTTGACTGATTTTTTCACCTGCAACCAATTAGTAAGTCAACTATAGATGGCAAATGACACGATTGAGGTGGTGGAAGTTTGATTTCGGTCGGAGGAAGCCCACAGCAGAAAGCTTAACAAAACGAAAAGTTGTATTTTCAAAATCCTGTCCCATTTTCAAATATGACATTTTCTGAACCCATATTTGACAAATTGGATGAAATTTTTGCCCAGACACCAATTAATTAGTTAATTGATGACGGTATGAAACCAAATTGAGGTACTGGGAGTTAGAATCCCGAATAGAATTGCAAAATCATATTGTCCCAATCTCTGTCCCATTTTCAGTTTTTTGAAGATGAAATTTCTAGGACCGAAATTTTACAGTTTTGACTGATTTTTTCACCTGCAACCAATTAGTATGTCAACTATAGATGGCAAATGACACGATTGAGGTGGTGGAAGTTTGATTTCGGTCGGAGGAAGCCCACTGCAGAAAGCTTAACAATACGAAAAGTTGTATTTTCAAAATCCTGTCCCATTTTCAAATATGAAATTTTCTGAACCCAAATTTGACAGATTGGATGAACGTTTTGCCCAGAAACCAATAAGTTAGTTAATTGATGATGGTATGAAACCAAATTGAGGTACTGGGAGTCAAAATCCCGAATAGAATTGCAAAATCATATTGTCCCAATCTCTGTCCCATTTTCATTTTTTGAAGATGAAATTTCCAGGACCGAAATTTTACAAATGACACGATTGAGGAGGTGGAAGTTTGATTTCGGTCGGAGGAAGCCCACAGCAAAAAGCTGAGGTACTGGGAGTTAAAACCTGAATGGAATTGTAAAATCATATTGTCCCAAAAAAACTGAAAATGGGACAGAGATTGGGACAATTATATGATTTAGCAATTTTATTCGGGATTTTGACTCCCAGTATCTCAATTTGGTTTCATACCATCATCAATTAACTAACTTATTGGTTTCTGGGCAAAACGTTCATCCAATCTGTCAAATTTGGGTTCAGAAAATTTCATATTTGAAAATGGGACAGCATTTTGAAAATACAACTTTTCGTTTTGTTAAGCTTTCTGCTGTGGGCTTCCTCCGACCGAAATCAAACTTTCACCACCTCGATCGTGTCATTTGCCATCTTTAGTTGACATACTAATTGGTTGCAGGTGAAAAAATCAGTCAAAACTGTAAAATTTCGGTCATTATCCCGAATAGAATTGCAAAATCATATAATTGAAAGCAACATGGACTGGAGATCCGAAAGTCCGGCCGCGATTTGTTTTTGGATAATTCGAAAAAGGTGAAAGATATTTCATCTGTAAAAAGGTTTCAAAAGCTTTAAAATAGAAAGATTTCATGATTGATTCTGAATTGCCTTACCTAGCAGGAACCCGTCTAACCCTAAAATGGTGTCAAGACTCAAGAGACTAAAACAATTATTACCTATTTAATTCGCGTTTTTGACACCACTTGGGGTAACAAATTTTGGGCTCTAAAACTCCTATTTCTTGGCCAATTTTTTATTGTTTCATGCTGATTTGGAGGCCATTAAAGCATTTGACCCAGTCAAAAAAGTTTCAGTTGTATATCTTTGACGGTTTTTGCAGAAATTCGCGTTAAATTTGATGCCGTGGTGTCAGTAAAATGGCACGGATAAATATATATATATATCGTCTCGCTTTATATATAGTAAGATAAATGACGAGCGGCCGGTGTGTGTATTTTTCTGACTTAAATTGTAACAATCTCATAGTCATAGGCCAGAGCAGAGGTTCCCTCGCTTTAAAAATGCTGTTCAAAGTTCAAACCCTCAACGTCTTCTCTGTGAAACCTGCCAAATTGTATAATCTTCTGCTTAAGCCCTAGGATCACACTAGCCCAGAGCATGACACGAGCAAACTGTAAACTTACGTTTATGAGGCGAAATTCACAAATATCCGGAAAGGTCCCTGCAACACAGTCGTCTTTTTTAACCACAAATTCTGCATTTGATTTATTCGTCATATCGCGCGCGTTCGTGTTCCCGAGCCTGTCCCCTTATTCTCTCAGAACACCTCGGGTACACTTGTTCGTCCAAGTACCTAGTGGTAGACACTTTGACAGTCATCACACTGTTATGGATTTGGCACAGTTGACATGAAAACTTTTTCTTATCAGTCATTATCATGTCACCCATCACAACATTTTGAACTTCGATAGTACCTCACATGAATTTATCGACAGTTAACTCTATTTCACTACGACATACTTAACTTTGTCACACAGTATCATATTTTCATTAGACACCTACATTTTGAGAATCATTTAATTTTCGAATGGAATTTTACCGAATTAAAACCGAGTGTGTGTGTTTGAGCGATTTGTACAACATTTCTGTAATGTTTCAAATTATATTCAAATGTTCTAAAAAATGTTCTATCATCACCTCAGAAAGTATAGTTATAATATTTAAATACTATAATTATAAGGGCAACCACCTTTTGAGTTTCAACTTTCAATATACGTTTAAAAGACAGTTTCTTAAAACGAGATAATGTCTAAAAGAAATAACGATGCTTATGAATTTGTTCAGCTGCGTATGTAGTTGTACGGTAATGTAATAAATAATACCTTGACTGTTGACTTTGAGTGCTACCCGCGACAATTCCCGACGCTTTAGCGGAGGGATCGCGGGGCACGAAACTAAGCCAAGATATTATTTATTATTATATTATTACACGAGAATATGGTGCCTCTTTTCTAAAACCCTGTTAACTAATTATTTGACGGTTCTTCTACCGATCATAGCCCTAAAATATGTTGTTTTGAAAAACTAGCTAATACCTGAGGCACTTATTGGGAAATGAGGTTAATTCTGTCACATTATATTATGGAATTTGAAATTTTCGGTGAATTGTCGAAATCATTTATATCTGATTTTGGTTTGAAAAGCAGGAAAACTCTATATAAGGACGATAAAGTTGATTCAAGTTAAGGGCAGTTAATGCGAACATTGTCAAAAAATTATACGAAATCGTTATTAGGTTAAATTTCGAAACAATGATAACCAAACCTCGATTAGAATCAATATTCTTCCAGAAATGATTGGAAGGTTATTAATATTATTCAGAAAATCGAAACTTAAGTTTAACAATGTTGAGGTTAATTTTAGTTACCGAAATGTGACAAAATTCACTTTTCCTGCCCCAACAGTAAAAAATTCAATTCAAAATATGATAAGGAGAGTTTGATGTGAAAGAAAATGTATCTAACTTTTACAATAACTTATGTGACGAAATTTACATTTCTTGCCCCTATCACATTTCTGTAAGGATCTTTTTGAAACAGTAAGCGTGACCAAAAAGATAAAATTAAAAACGTTAGAAAGTTTATAGCAGGAGGATTTGTATATAAATCGAAGATCCGACTAGAAACGATTTCATTTTCATTGTCTTTTCAAACTATAATTTGGTTTTGATTAATTCGGAATTTGCAGTACTTAGTAAAGTGTACGTGTTTAAACTAACCTTATTGTTCAACAAAATCGTTCTAATTAAGAATGAATTGAAGACAAGTTTATTCCCAAATAACCTCAACATTGTTAAACTTGAGTTTCAATTTTCTGAATAATATTAATAACCTACCAATAATTTCTGGAAGAATATTGAATTCTAATCGAGGTTTGGTTATCATTGTTTCGAAATTTAACCTAATAACGATTTCGTATAATTTTTTGACAATGTTCGCATTAACTGCCCTTAACTTGAATCAACTGTATCGTCCTTATATAGAGTTTTCCTGCTTTTCAAACCAAAATCAGATATAAATGATTTCGGCAATTCAGCTAAAATTTCAAATTCCATAATATAATGTGACAGAATTTACCTCATTTCCCAATAAGTGCCTCAGGTATTAGCTAGTTTTTCAAAACAACATATTTTAGGGCTATGATCGGTAGAAGAACCATCAAATAATGAGTTATAAGGGTTTTAGAAAAGAGGTACCATATTCTCGTGTAATAATATAATAATAAATAATACCCTGGCTTAGTTTCGTGCCCCGCGATCCCTCCGCTAAAGCGTCGGGAATTGTCGCGGGTAGCACTCAACAGTTAACAGCCAAGGTATTATTTATTACATTACCGTACAACTACATAATCAGCCGAACAAATTCATAGGCATCGTTATTTCTTTTAGACATTTTCTCGATTTAAGAAACTGTCTTTTAAACGTATATTGAAAGTTCAAACTCAAAAGGGGGCCCTCATAATTATAGTATTCAAATACTATATAACTATAATTACTGAGGTGATGATATGACGAATAAATCAAATGCAGAATTTGTTGTTAAAACAGACGACTGTGTTGCAGGGACCTTTCCGGATATTTGTGAATTTCGCCTCATAAACGTAAGTTCGTGTGATGCTCTGAAATGGAATACAGTGTTTAAAGTGTGATAAAAAAACTGAAAATGGGACAGAGATTGGGACAATATGATTTTGCAATTCTATTCGGGATTTTGACTCCCAGTATCTCAATTTGGTTTCATACCATCATCAATTAACTAACTAATTGGTTTCTGGGCTAAAACTTCATCCAATCTGTCAAATTTGGGTTAAGAAAATTACATATTTGAAAATGGGACAGCATTTTGAAAATTCAACTTTTCGTTTTGTTAAGCTTTCTGTTGTGGGCTTCCTCCGACCGAAATCAAACTTCCACCACCTCAATCGTGTCATTTGCCATCTATAGTTGACTTACTAATTGGTTGCAGGTGAAAAAATCTGTCAAAACTGTAAAATTTCGGTCCTAGAAATTTCATCTTCAAAAACTGAAAATGGGACAGAGATTGGGACAATATGATTTTGCAATTCTATTCGGGATTTTGATTCCCAGTACCTCAATTTCGTTTCATACCATCATCAATTAACTAACTAATTGGTTTCTGGGCAAAAAGACCATCCAATCTGTCAAATTTGGGTTCAGAAAATTTCATATTTGAAAATGGGACAGCATTTTGAAAATTCAACTTTTCGTTTTGTTTAGCTTTCTGCTGTGGGCTTCCTCCGACCAAAATCAAACTTCCACCACCTCAATCGTGTTATTTGCCATCTATAGTTGACTTACTAATTGGTTGCAGGTGAAAAAATCTGTCAAAACTGTAAAATTTCGGTCCTAGAAATTTCATCTTCAAAAACTGAAAATGGGACAGAGATTGGGACAATATGATTTTACAATTCTTTTCGGGATTTTGACTCCCAGTACCTCAATTTCGTTTTATATTATCATCAATTAACTAACAAATTGGTTTCTGGGTAAAAAGTTCATCCAATCTGTCAAATTTGGGTTCAGAAAATTTCATATTTGAAAATGGGATAGCATTTTGAAAATACAACTTTTCGTTTTGTTAAGCTTTCTGCTGTGGGCTTCCTCCGACCGAAATCAAACTTCCACCACCTCAATCGTGTCATTTGCCATCTATAGTTGACTTACTAATTGGTTGCAGGTGAAAAAATCTGTCAAAACTGTAAAATTTCGGTCCTAGAAATTTCATCTTCAAAAACTGAAAATGGGACAGAGATTGGGACAATATGATTTTGCAATTCTATTCGGGATTTTGATTCCCAGTACCTCAATTTCGTTTCATACCATCATCAATTAACTAACTAATTGGTTTCTGGGCAAAAAGTTCATCCAATCTGTCAAATTTGGGTTCAGAAAATTTCATATTTGAAAATGGGACAGTATTTTGAAAATACTACTTTTCGTTTTGTTAAGCTTTCTGCTGTGGGCTTCCTCCGACCGAAATCAAACTTCCACCACCTCAAAAATCAGTCACAACTGTAATTTTTCAATTGACTTTATCACAACTCTGTGATTATAGCCTAATTGGGGTGAAGGTCAGATCTTTCTCAGGTTTGCTTGCTATATTGGATTTCTTAGCTTCAGTGTCTCATCAGCAAGAAGGCAGAACTTCCCTTTCAAAAAGAACATTGTAACAATCATAAAAAATTTACTTCACTTTAATATACTGCAAAATATACCTCGTATACGAAATTATACCAGCGCTGGATATGCCAATTATTGCGGGTCATCTTTATGGCATCACTTATAAAGCTTGATGATTTTCCTATTTCAGGGAGGGACCCTGGCGTTGGTTAGTTTCTGCGGCATCTTGCTGAATGTCATCGTCATGTTTGTCATAATCGGACAAAAGGTTCACCTGAGTAACCAGGTGATTCTACTGTTTAATAATAGTTAATACTTTCTAATAAAGCATCCCACGACCAGCTAAATGGTATAGCTGCTTACAATACTGACCATATAATGCTTACAATACTTACAATACTTACAATATAATGCTTACAATACTTACAATACTGACCATATAATGCTTACAATACTTACAATACTTACAATATAATGCTTACAATACTTACAATACTGACCATATAATGCTTACAATACTTACAATACTGACCATATAATGCTTACAATACTTACAATACTGACCATATAATGCTTACAATACTTACAATACTGACCATATAATGCTTACAATACTTACAATACTGACTATATAATGCTTACAATACTTACAATACTGACCATATAATGCTTACAATACTTACAATACTGACCATATAATGCTTACAATACTTACAATACTGACCATATAATGCTTACAATACTTACAATACTGACCATATAATGATTACAATACTTACAATACTGACCATATAATGCTTACAATACTTACAATACAGACCATATAATGCTTACAATACTTACAATACTGACTATATAATGAAAAAACGAAACGAAACGAAACACTGTATTTACTACCCCGCTACTATGCGACAAAGATATTGTATAAAGTTAACTAAATAATTTACACAATACGGTGCCCATGTCTGAGCGGCTCTCCTCAAATAACTTTCTCTCCTCCTCGGAGCAGAAAGTTAAAAACAAAACACGGGTCTCATAAATCAAAAAATACTAAATAATGTTAAAGAGATCATATCAGATTAACTGTCGCAAAAAATGGTTAAAGTATACATATTACATAATTGATTTTATTGACACACCGATAAAAACCAGAAAAACAAGAAGTGGATACTCGGAAAACAAAAAATAACACAAAAAAAGACTAGAAGCCACAAAAAATAGCTTAACCAGGCTATAGTTGATCATACAAATAGTTCTTTAACTTACCCTTAAAAGAGACAATATTGTCGATATTACGGACATTAAGAGGGAGAGAGTTCCATGATTCAGGTGCATAGTTGCTGAACCGCCTGCTAGTTGCCTTCAATTTAGAGAACTTAGGTATCTTCATAAGAAGGTTGCATGCTGTTTTTGTTCTGGTTTCTTTGACAGCCTTATCATCTCTGTTCATTTGAACCAACTCTTGGAGGTACATTGGTGCCAATCCATGGGTCACTTTGAAACAGATGAGACACACTTTGAAAAATATCCTCTTTTCAACAGGGAGAATATGAGCTTTCTTGTAGAAAGGAGACAAGTCAGTATTTCTGTCATAGATGTCGTAAATGAAACGTATCCCTGCATTTAGAACAGATTGCAGCTTCTTCACTCTAGTCTTTGAAAGATTCATGTAGAGGGCATTACAATAGTCCAGCTTTGATATGATCAGTTGTTTGACCAGCATGAGCTTAACTCTCTCATCTAGATACTTTCTGATAGTTCTAAGATTGTTCATTGTCCAGGAACAGTTCTTCCTAACGTTGTTAATCTGCCTTTCCATGTTGAGAGATTCATCTAGTAACACTCCAAGACTCTTCCAGGTATCGTTTTTGCATACAGTTGGTGTAATAATGGTGTCACCAAACTTTATTGTTATTTCAAGGTCAAACTTCTTCAGTACCAAAGGCTTTCCAATGACTAACAATTCTGTCTTGCTCTCATTCAGTTTCATGAAATTATTAACCATCCATACTTTGATTTCAGACAGACAGTCATTGATCCTACTAGTGACATTCTGCAGCTCCATGGGTCTCATCGGGTGGAAAGCTATATAAAGTTGTGAGTCATCTGCATAAAGCTGAATATCGAGACCATACTTTCTAGCTATTTCCTGGAGCAGCTTAATGTATAAGATGAACAGGATCGGTCCCAATAGAGAGCCCTGGGGTACCCCAAACAACAGACACAGGAAGTCAGATAATGAGTCATCTACCTTAACCTTGAAAAACCTGCCTGAGAGGTATGAACTAAACCATTTCAATGCAGAGTCCTTAATACCAAAATCTTTTGCCAGCTTCTTAAGAAGGATTGTATGATCAATCGTGTCAAAAGCAGCAGAGAGATCAAGTAGGACTACAATCACAATGTTGTTCTTCTGCACTTCCTTAAGAATATCGTCTGCCATCCTGACCATCAGGGTTTCACAACTGTGGTTCGCTCTGTATCCAGACTGAACTGGGCAATGCAGACTGTTTAAATGTAAGTGATTGTTTAACTGCTCAAGTACAATCTTTTCAATCAGTTTAGACATAACTGCAAGATTTGAGACTGGTCTGTAATTCTTCAGAATATCTGGATCAGCATTCTTCTTCTTGATAGTGGGCTTGACCAGTGCAGTCTTCATCTCGGCTGGAAACACACCTTGCAACATAGAACCGTTTATTATGTGCAGGAGGATCGGTGCCAACTCCTGAGAGCATTTCTTCAACATGAAAGTTGGAATAGGGTCAAGACTACAAAACTTGTTAGACATCTTAGAAATGGTGTGTAACAGGTGCTGCCTAGTGATGGAGTGAAATTTATCAAATGATGGCCCTGAATAGGTGCTTTCAAGATTCTCTGACGATGACAAGTTCCCTCCGATATGACTTCCTTCTTCTTCTATCCCAAGTCTGATATCATTCACTTTATCCGCAAAGAAAACTTTAAAACTTTCTGCCAGTTTTTTAGTGTCATTACCATGTGGCCTTTCTTGGGTAGTTTCACCCGTGAGTCTATAAACTTTCTTGTACAGAGCCTTCGTATCTCCCGCAGAGGCTAAGAGGGCTTTTCTATTGTAAGTAATCCTCTTCTGTCGCTCAATGACAATAAATTTGTTCCTGAGGTTGACAAAAATATCCTTCTGTCCCTTGCCTTTCCTCCAGGCTCTCTCAGCTGCTCTCCTCTGCCTCTGTAAAGCTTTCAGATCCTGATCCATCCAAGGTTTACCTTTGTCTTCACTCTTCATCTCCTTACTGATCACAGGACAGTGCTTGTCCATAAGTTCCAATAGAATACTATTGTACATCTTAACTGACTCATCAAGACTCTCAGAGCACCAAGCATCTCTTTTACAGAGATCAGAAACCAAAATATCTGCTTTAAAATCCTCAACCACAATACTTTTAAAATCACGGTAGTTCATCACCCTAGTATCATTCAAAGAGGTCTTCAGGCTCACAGACACTACAAATTTAACAAGAAAATGATCTGATCTAGTCCCAGATTCCACAATGTTAATAGAAGTTATAGAGTCTTTAAAGACTTTGGTCGTTATCACGAGGTCAAGAGTTCCTCCTTGATTGTGAGTTCTTTCTAGTGGTACACATTGGATGAAACCAAGCTGATCAAGAAGGGAAAGAAACTTTGCGGGGTAAAGATCTTTAGGTCTTTCAACATGTAAATTAAAATCCCCTGCAATCACCGGGGTTCCTGGCTTACCGGACAAATCACACAGGTATTCACTGAATTCTTCCAAGAAGTGGCACTCAGTGTACCTGGCCTTTTTGGTGTAAGGCGGTCTATACACATCAATAAGTCTGATTATCCCACTATTTGTTTCAAGTACAACTTCCATGACTTGGTAAGACTTGTACTTCTTGACTCTACCGTTGCTTTTCAACTTAAGGTTCTTATTGAAAATTATACCTATTCCTCCGCCACTACGATGCTTCCTTGGGTTGGATAAAATACCCCAACCAAAATCTCGTATCTCTTGTAGCTTTGCAGTATCTGCTTCCTTAAGAAAAGTCTCTTGAAGAAAACAGATATCAACCCCCTCATCAGTTAGGTGCTCAAGAACCTCTACTGTCTTGTTCACTAGACGATTAACATTAAACGTGGCTAAGACTAGTTTATCCCAAGCTCTCTTTGTCGAATCTTTGCCCACTGGAGATAAGAGTTTTTTGATGTTTCACATCCGCTCGTTCTGGCCATGATATAACTCTGCTCTCTCACATAAGATGGGCATAATCTGTCAGCTGCAGAATGTGTCTTGCATTTATCTTTGACATTCTTGTCTTTACTGTTGCTGCAGTTCGTACACTTGATACTAGATCTTCGGCCCGCCGTTTTCTTCTCACAATCTTTCGATTTGTGGGCACCTGCACAGTAGAAGCACACTGGGTCGGCATTATACTTCTTACACTTACAGTAATCACTGCCACTCATGTGTCCGAAGCTCTGACAGTCAAAGCACTGGATTACATGATACCTATCCTTAACTTTATACTGTCCAAGATCAGCGTGTACAAAGTCACCTGACTCCCTTATAGACTGCCTGATTTTCACTGACACTTGTAGGCATGCCCAGGTCTTGTTTTTCTCCAGGAAAATAACCTTGAAAGTGTTGTTCTCATCTTCAACTAAACTCTTAATGGAACTGTTCTTATCAAGGATGCTCTGGCGCAATTCTTCGGATGACTCAAAATCTCCCTTGAGATCATACATAGTAAGCTTAGGTTCAAGCATTGTCACGGTGTGGGATTTTGCAGACACTTTGTAGTCCACACTAAGAGCATCTTTAGCTTTCTCCATAAGTTCCTTGTTCTTGAATATTAACCTTGCTGTGCCTTCTTTGACACCTGAGACCCCTTTAATAGGGATGCTGGGCAGTATTGATGCGACATGTTTCTTCACCTTTGAGGACCAGAGTTCTTCTGTTATCTTATCTGCCTCATTCTGCCCTTCCAGAGTTAAAGTATGAGTCTCACTGGGTCCGAGATTGGTCTTAATCTCAGGTATAATATCTGGACCACCTTTATTGTGCTCAATGAGAATTTGTCTAAATTGTGCTAGCTCCTTTCTCACTATATCTAGTGCCTCGGTAGCTGTCCCTTCCTGTGGTGCAGGTGTGTCTAGTTTAGACTTGGTCTTCAGTAGTGACAGGGCCCTCTTACTGAAACTGTATAGTTCCTTTATAACTTCAAACATATCCGGCTTGCTATTCCCTGTGGGTAAGTCTAAAGAATCTGCAATTATAGTATCCAACTTCTTCTTACCTTTTAAACTGTCGTTTAACGTTTCTAACTCCTTTTCCATCTTGTCATAGACATCAGTGATAACCATTGCTGTAAAGGATTTGAGACCTCTCTACTTTAACTCAAACCAAATAAATATAGTGGTAAGTGCTGAAAAGTACTTGATAAACCCACTAAAAGCTGTTGGTCGTCGTTTAAAACGCAGTAAAAACCTCAAATTATTTGTTATATAGTAGTGTTGAAAGTATTAAAAAATAGTAGTGTTGAAAGTATTAAAATGCTTACAATACTTACAATACTGACCATATAATGCTTACAATACTTACAATACTGACCATATAATGCTTACAATACTTACTATACTGACCATATACTGACCATATAGATAAATATAATACACACACAAACAAGTTTGATTTAAGAGATTTTACACATTCAATTCACTTTCAGAAATATTTCATGTTCAATCTGGCAATTAGTGATTGTCTCATAGCGATTGTTGGAATGTTTAGAGGGCTTGGAATCATAGACCCTAGTTTTGTTGGGTTCGTGGGTGGAAACGAAAATGGATGGTGTTCAGCTTACCTCCTATTCATGATGCTTGTAAGGTAGGGGCAACACATTTTAATTGATGTTAATTTTAATATTATAAAGTCCACAGTAGAACTGAGTAACTCTGAACACTACAAAATACTCAGACTTAAAAGCTCACTCCATAGCGATAATGGCTTCAATAACATTAATGTATCTGTTTCACTCGATTATTTTTTATTTATTATGTTGCCTCAATTATTATCAAAATAAAATCAACTTCCCATCAGTTATTCGAACTGTCCTTGCATGGTAGCTCTGACAATTGACCGTGTGGTGGCCATTGTGCGACCCTTCATGCACAGAACTCTTTTCACGAAGTGGGTTTGTATAGGAATCTGTGTAGCCGTGTGGTTACCTCAGGTCCTCTTTTACTGCTGGTTTATGGTGACGATGTTCACAAACGAGGAAACTGTAAGCGTACGTATTAATTAATTATCTTGTTTTACCATATCTGATTTGGTGATGGCCAGTTGCCAAGAATGTTCAGAGCATATTTTTTCTGGCTATTTGAACCAGCAGATTGGTCGCATATACAAAATTATCAGTAATTTATCAGAAATATCACAACAATGCGATTCATAAATAATGTTCCGAATATTAAAATATAATCTTATTGGATTTGAAATCATATTCGCATTTCACATAAGTATTGTACAATATTTCAGATGGAGTACTATCCCAACTATCATCGGTGCCAGAATTCCTACAAAAATCCATGGCTTCGAACAGCTAGATTTGTTACTCTCGTGTGGCTACCTTTCTCACTCATCATACTCATGTACTCCATCATCATCTACAAGTAAGTAGTTTGTCAACTTATAAGTGGTAAAATACAAAAAAATATTCGATGGAAAAAATGTATGATTCAATAAATGAGCGAATAGACAAGCCTATAACATTTCAGAGTGATAAGATCTGGAAAGACTTCCATACGTTTGCTGGCTATATCCTCTGTGATCATCGTTTCTGGGTTCATTTGCTGGTTCCCTTCCATCATCTCCTCCATCTTTTCCATCCCGATGAATTACAAAGTGGCCCAAGTCTTGACTGTCTCTCTTTTCTACATGAGTAGCTCTACAGACCCACTCGTGTACGTCCTACTCATGCCTGCTGTCAAAGATTACCTGTTTACAAGATTTGTCAAATGTGAGGAGCCGCCAGCCTCTTCGAGCAATTCTTCTATGATTCGTATAAGCACAGATTCAAGATCCTCCAGGCAGATTTCCAGTATTGCGTTCACGGCCAAGCTCGCAAAAGAGAAGAGAATAGCTTTTCAAAACGACCACAGATCCCGATCTCAAGACATTATTGCTAAAAGTGGACCAACACCCTAATGACCGGACGGCGGACCCTAGTGACTATGTAGACATGTAGCTGGATGTGCTGGAACCTAAGGTGACTAGTGACTACGCATTTATCGATCCATTGACAACTCGTGAAGAAGTCACACCTTCTAACACCACCACCGATGCAGCGCCTGTCTCAACTGCAATCTCAGCTGAAAGACATGACATTCAGGCTCTCATAGGTTGAAGCCAGATTAAACCTATGCAGGGTGGGTTAATAAGCAATTGGGTATCTGGAAATAGTACCATCTGTATTCTGTAGGACATCAACTGAAAAAATAAATAGAAATAGTTTCGAAGTTGTAATGTATTTCACTGCTATAAAGCAGGCAAGCACCTGACCAGGGGTGTGTTTAATGTTTATTGAAATCTTATTCTATTGATGGAATTTAACAAATCTATCTATAATTAATCTGCCATGCTATTGATTGCTGTGACTTTTATCTACTTTAGGATTTGAAAGATTAGAGATTTGAAACATTTATGATTTCACTCAAAGATAAACCAACTTTTATTTGTAGCCAAGGGTGCAACCGAAGAAACCACTTTTGATATAGCTTATCTTACATCTTACTTTGTAGCCAAACCAACTTAAGATATTACAACCAAATATCTATTGATCTATATTATATTTTAAACTTGGTGAAATCTCCCTGGCAACGGCTAAAAGCACTAAAAATTTACTAAAAAGTTACCATTCGCATGATTCGGCTCGCATGCAAAATGCAAATGGAGTTGAAAAATGAAAACTCGCGATTTTTAGCAAGGTTGTAGAAACAGGATATGCAGCTTTTATACTTATACTTATAACTATTTTAAATTTCGATTTAGGCTTTAGATTTTTTTGTAATTGACTGTTTTAAATATAAATAACTTTGGTTGTGATCGATGTTTTTGGCGCAGTAAAAGTATCGTTTAAAGAAAACTTTACACTTTTTCGTCATCGTCAAATAAAAAGCCATACTTTCTACAATACGACTAGAAGAGCTTCAATTCTGATATCACCGCTATACTCTATAAGTATAGTGTAAAAGTATTGTCTTTTGTAATGCTCCCTGTCATTGCCACCCACAAGTTTGAGATATATCCAGGTTTCAAAAGTAACAGCGCGGATCTGACAAAACAATAGACGACGCTTTGATTCAGTTTTCATACAATAAAGTGAAGGCTTGAGTTATTGTTAATATACTCCAACTTGAAATATTCAATTAGCATTTTGTTCGCATATTAAGATTTAATGAAACCGAGTCGTATCTTGGAGTTGGAAATATGGTAAAATTGATTCTAAGCACAAATCAAATTTAAAAAATTCTAGTACCATTCTTCTTTGGGATGAATTTTAGGTGAACGTTAAACATTAAACGGTAAAACGAATCAGTCATTTGCCTTTTGATATCAGCTTTGGAAACGCACAGATTATTAACGCATTGTGCGAGGTCTCAAGTTATTGTTCATCATTGTTGTTTATTTTGACATGTTGGACAAAGAAGACAAAGAAGACAAAGAAGACAAAGAAGACAAAGAAGACAAAGAAGACAAAGAACGCCTAAATAGATTAGTACTTTCATGAATGGCGCTCCTTTGTTTAGAGAAATTGGCTTAGTTGTAACTTGTAGTGCACGTACAGCTAGAACGTTCACTAAAAACTCATCTCACGTTCTGAACGTTATGGATAAATTATACTAGCAGTGTTCAGTAGGATTCACGTACTCTAGTTCGACACACATTATAGTTCGACAAATTAAATTCGCCAGATATCAGATATATATCTGATATATATATCTGATATATATATCTGATATATATATATATCAAGTACCATTAAACGAATCAGTCATTTGCCTTTTGATATCAGCTTTGGAAACGCACAGATTATTAACGCATTGTACGAGGGCCTATTGTTCATCATTGTTGTTCACAAATTTAGTTTTATCTACTTGGAGACATGTGGGACGAAGAAGACAAAGAACAACTAAATGGATCAGTACTTTCATGAATATTTAAGGCGCCCCTTTGTTTAGAGAAATTGGTTTGATGCAATAAAACATCAACTTCCCTCCCTGTGACCACGGGCTTTCTAGTATATATATAATATGACTTGACTTATGGCAGCTTCGGAGTCCGAGTCTCAATGATGTGTCTCCAAAGCTTTCTGTCCGCCATAAGCTTCTTAATCTCCCCAGTGTTCTTGAGTCCGGTGTCACTTCTTAGGTTGTTGACGAAAGTGAGCAGTTAGGTAGTCTGCACCGCATTCTGGTCCCGTGGTTCCCAAAGGAGAAGTTGGTGGGCTGCCCCGCCCTCTAGTCTCGTGGCTAGGTTCCCAAAGGAGAAGTTGGTAGTCTGCCCCGCCCTCTGGTCCCGTGGCTAGGTTCCCAAAGGAGAAGTTGGTGGGCTGCCCCGCCCTCTGGTCCCGTGGCTAGGTTCCCAAAGGAGAAGTTGGTGGGCTGCCCCGCCCTCTGGTCCCGTGGCGAGGTTCCCAAAGGAGAAGTTGGTGGGCTGCCAGGTCATCATGTCCCTGAATGTGCCCAGTCAACCTCATTCTTCTGGCCTGTATATTCGAGCTCACTCATGGGAGTGATCCAAAGACCTCCTAATTGTTGGTGCGATGTTCTCTCCAGTCCACGTTTAGGGCCATCCGCAGCATTCTACTGTAACATCCGTCTATCCTTTTCTTCAGTGATTCTGTTACTGTCCACGTTTCCGTTTCATAGAGGACGATTGATTCAACCGTAGCTTGAAACAGACAGATCTTTAAATCTCGGCATATAGCCTTAATTTTGTGGCAGGCAGCCCATGCCTTGGCCTTGCATATCCTAAAGTCGTGCTATGTTGTATTTATCCAGGCTCCTAGAAGTAGGTAGACAAAGTCCTCCACTTTCTCAAAGACATGTCCGGCCTTAGAAGTTATAGGTTTTGAGCCTCCGAGATGGTGTTTGTTGTGAGAGCAATATATATTTCATTTAATTAGATATTTAAAGGACAACAAAATCTCTTCACATAATGTCACTCATTGCCAGCAGCAAATAATAGACCGTCCTATCATGTTTCTAGCTTTGTGCGGAATATCATTTATCAGTTATTAGAATATATATATTCGTATGCGAATACGAATATATTTTCCGCACAAAGCATAAAATTCTGCTGTATATGAGTGGTGATTTCGCTCTGAGAATCAGGGTCAGTAGCTCAATAGGTAGAGCAAGGCACGCGAAATGTCGAGGTTCTGGGATCATTCCCCAGTTGTCCCTAGTTTTTCAGAATTAATCATCACCTATAGACAACTAGACAGCATGAGAGTAGGCCCTGCCATCTCGAAGTGATAATAAAAGCATTAACGATGAGAACTTCTAATTATCGATGTTTCAGAAATGATAATATGTCGAACAAAACAAATTCAGAATTTGTGGTTAAAACAGACGCCTGTATTCGAGGAGACTTTCCAAATATTTGTGCCTTCCGCCTCATAAATGTAAGTTCGCACGTGGGGCAATGTGATAGTCCCTTAAACTAATAAGATATTCATATATTCTGGGACATGTAAACCACTATATGGCAATTTGTATCACTGCATAGTGAATAATAGGCACAGTTTACAATTATAAAACACCAGCGCAAAATATTTCCAGTGCAGAATTTTCCAATGATTGCGTTAATTTCGTGTCACATATACTTTATCGGACTTTCTTTGGTCAGACATTACGTGAGCGCTAGAACCTATATGGCTCAGCGTTCACGCAAACTCCGCCAAAATACGGTCCGGTAAGGTCCGATAACAAAGCTTGATGATTTTCCTATTTCAGGGAGGGACCCTGGCGTTGGTTAGTTTCTGCGGCATCTTGCTGAATGTCATCGTCATGTTTGTCATAATCGGACAAAAGGTTCACCTGAGTAACCAGGTGATTCTACTGTTTAATTATTTTATATATCCACAGACTCAATAATCTAACGAAAGGCTTTTAGCCGGCGTGCGTAAAAAGCAATATGAACGTGTAGCAATATACCAACCACTACCAGATAGTGCAATAACGGCCAGGTAGCACATAATTATTTTATATATCGAAAGGCTTTTGGCCGGGGTGCATAAAAGCAACGTGTAGCAATACCGACCAGATAGTGCAATAATGCATACAGTATAAGTGGGGGGGGGGGGGGGTTCACTACACTGTATAAGTGTATCATAATACAAACAAGATTGATTTGAGAGAATTTTTATGATCAATTCACTTTCAGAAATATTTCATGTTCAATCTGGCTATTAGCAATAGTCTCATAGCGATTGTTGGCATGTTCAGAGGACTGGGAATCATAGACCCTAGTTTTGTTGGGTTCGTTGGTGGAGAAGAAAATGGATGGTGTTCAGCTTACCTACTATTCATGATGCTTGTAAGGTAGGGGCAACACATTTTAATTGATGTAAATTTTAATACTATAAAGTCCACAGTAGAACTGAGTAACTCTGAACTCCACAAAATACCCAGACTTAAAAGCTCACTTCATAGCGATAATGGCTTCAATAACGTTAATATATCTGTTTCACTCGATTATTTTTTAGGGGTCGTTCACATGTTATGTAATCAGCCGATAGGGAGGGGTTTCCGAATGATTACGCTAGTGTAATTTTGACACGATCGCTATGTGTAAAACTGATTACGGAGGAAGAAAGGGGGGTTACAAATTTACCAAAAAAGTGATTACGTAATAATATGTGAAGTGTGAAAGACCCCTTACAATATGTTCGCGAAATTAATATCAATATTAAATTAGCTTCCCTAAATTAATTATCAATCAGCTATTCGAACTGTCCTTGCATGGTAGCTCTGACATTTGACCGTGTGGTGGCTATCTCACGACCCTTCATGCACAGAACTCTTTTCACGAAGTGGGTTTGTATAGGAATCTGTGTAGCCGTGTGGTTACCTCAGGTTTTCTTTTACTGCTGGTTTATGGTGACTATGTTCACAAACGAGGAAATTGTTAGCGTAAGTATTAAATAATTATCTTGTTTTACCATATTACCTGATTGGGAGATGGCCAGCATATTGTTGGTTATTTAAAGTGCTTGTTGTTTATCTAAACTAGCAGATAAGCTGTAAGCGTATAACGTTAGATTTGGGGGTTTGAGATGAGTATACTATATTGTACAATATTTCAGATGGAGTACTACCCCAACTATCATCGGTGCCAGAATTCCTACAAAAATCCATGGCTTCGAACAGCTAGATTTTTTACTCTCGTGTGGCTACCTTTCTCACTCATCATACTCATGTACTCCATCATCATCTACAAGTAAATATTTAATTAAGTTAATTAATTATGTTTAATCAAATTTTTGATTAATTTAAGAATGAAGAGTCACATAGACTAAGTCTTAACACTAAGTGCATATATTTTTATATCATAAACTCATAAATATGTAAACCAATCAGATAGACAAGTTTATGACATTCCAGGGTGATAAGATCTGGAGCGAAGACACGACGTTTGCTGGCTATTTCCACTGTCATTATAATCTCTGGGATCATTTGCTGGTTCCCTTCCATCATCTCCTCCATCTTTTCCATCCCGATGAACTACAAAGTGGCCCAAGTCTTGACTGTCTCTCTTTTCTACATGAGTAGCTCTACAGACCCACTCGTGTACGTCCTACTCATGCCTGCTGTTAAAAGGTATCTGATTACAAGATTTGTCAAATGTGAGGAGCCTCCAGCCTGTTCTAGCAACTCAGGTCGGTCAAGTCAGACTAGCACTGCTAGCACTAGGGGGTGCAGTGTTGTAACTACTCCACACGCTCGGATCAGCACCGTACAACCCAGAAGTAGTAGGGTTTCAACGGTTTCCCGAAAATGAGGACACTAGACCGATGTATAGTCCATGAAAGGACTGCACTACTCCAGATATACTCCCAAACCACACCACTGTGTGCATGTGTAAACTTGGAACTTTATCTGAACTCAAACCACAGTGACCGTATGAGCCTTGTGTATACTTGGAACTTTTTCTGAACTCAAACCACAGTGGTTATCTTAGCCTTGTGCAAACTTTGAACTTTATCTTAACTCAAACCACAGTGGCTATCTTAGCCTTGTGTAAACTTAGAACATTATCTGAACTCAAACCACAGTGACCGTATGAGCCTTGTGTATACTTAGAACTTTATCTGAACTCAAACCACAGTGGATCTCTGAGCCTTGTGTATACTTGGAACTTTTTCTGAACTCAAACCACAGTGGTTATCTTAGCCTTGTGCAAACTTTGAACTTTATCTGAACTCAAACCACAGTGGCTATCTTAGCCTTGTGTAAACTTAGAACTTTATCTGAAATCAAACCACAGTGGATCTCTGAGCCTTGTGTATACTTGGAACTTTATCCGAACTCAAACCACAGTGGCTATCTTAGCCTTGTGCAAGCTTGGGATTTTATCTGAACTCAAACCACAGTGACCGTCTGAGCCTTGTGCAAACTTGGGATTTTATCTAAACTCAAACCAAAGTGGCTATCTTAGCCTTGTGCAAACTTGGAACTTTATCTGAAGTCAAACCACAGTGACCGTCTGAGCCTTGTGCAAACTTGGGATTTTATCTGAAGTCAAACCACAGTGACCGTCTGAGCCTTGTGCAAACTTGGAACTTTATCTAAACTCAAACCACAGTGGCTATCTTAGCCTTGTGCAAACTTGGAACTTTATCTAAACTCAAACCACAGTGGCTATCTTAGCCTTGTGCAAACTTGGGATTTTATCTGAACTCAAACCACAGTGACCGTCTGACCCTTGTGCAAACTTGGGATTGTATCTAAACTCAAACCAAAGTGGCTATCTTAGGCTTGTGCAAACTTGGAACTTTATCTGAACTCATACCGTGGTATCTCCTCTTAAGTGAGCCGAGCTCTGAAAATAACTATTATAATGCTTGCTGTAAAAAACTAATTGTTAAAAAGATTTGATGATTTTTATGAATACTCAGGAATATGATTGCAACCATAAGGGCAACCAATAGACAGCTTCGGCTAATGACAATGCGGAATTAAGATTTCTGAAACAAACTAACGGCTGAGTTGTTATCTAAACGACCACAGACCGCATGATCTTATATTTCTTCTCAATTAAATATCGCTACAGCTTATAATACGTTTATAAACACCTGCTGAGGCGGCTGTCAGAAAAAAGCGAAGAGAGTACCGCCACCGGTAAATCGTCAGGCCATGACTGCAGTTACCGGCATTATGTTGTCAATGTTTGGACCTCGTGATGAGACGTTATTTTTTGTAATCATTTTTAGAGTTATTCTAATTTACAGGCAGGCATCGCGATCGATTGTTAAAATGTTTAGAATTGACTTGATGCTTGAAAATTTGGGAGATTTTTGCTTATTTCATTTAACTAAAAGTAATCTGATTTCGATGGGAATTTTATATTATGCTTTTCTCATAAAGGAGTTTCGTTGATATCGAATATAATAGTCCGCATAATTTAACCGAAAGTTGTAGTCGAGTGTCGATGTTGTCTGACTGTATTCAACATCAAGAGACTGGCCCCTGGCTGACTATTACTCTATTATTATTAACAGACAAAGCACTGACTCTTAGAGCTCGATAGATCAAACTAGCCAGATTTACCTAAAGATCTTATCTAATCAGTCAATGATAACATCAACTTCCTCAGTTAAATAATCTAACAAAGAAATCAAATTGTTAATTCACCAACGTCCTTTACATTTGTAGGTACAAATCGATCTAAGACAAGTTAGCGATGAAAGTAAAGACTTAACTTCATCCTCTATACCATTTGTTTACGTCCCAGACCAGTGGTCATTAGTAAACTATAACCGTAGTTTACTAATGACCATACAAAACGTAATTACGTAATTACTTAATGGTTTAATGAGCTATTTTTGCAAGGATCTCTGGGAGGTGCCACATTCTAATCCTCACAACTATACCAATAATCAGTATCGTGTGTCGCCTCATGAGGGTCTGTAGAAATCTGAGCTGCTGATCAAATGTCTGGTCACCATATTGCTTCATGCTAATGATCTTATTAAAAAGTGCAGCGTCCCACTTTAAGTTTTTTGATTTGTAGAGTTCTGTTGTGACGTTTAGTTTTACTGTGCTTTTTACACTGATGATTGGTATTGTTTTATACTTTTATACATATCACGAAACGGATCGTTTGCCCGCCAATTTGATTTGTTTCAATTGAATTGAATTTCTTCGGTTTTAAGGAAAGTCACTATCAGTATTCACTCAAAGTGATCAGATCGTCATCCACCAACATACTCGTTACCACCTAATGAGGCTCATTGTTGCTCGCTAGCGAACTGCTCCCGATGAGATTACTGATTGGGTGACGAAATCACTGATTAAGTGCTGGATCACGTATCTGCAAGATCTTGAAAGGATCATAACTCGGTTAAATTGTGAACAACCAACTTGAAATTTTGGCAAGCGCTTCAATTATCAAACCAGATGTGTCTACAAACTTTGAAGTTCCTAGCTGAAAGCGTTCTCGCTTTATAGTGACAATAGTGAAAAAGAGGGAGTGTCGTGCCATACCGTATCCACCGTAATTAATTAAATTTGACAAAACTTTCAGGAAATCTAAGTTTGACCCATTTCTATAATCTCTGAAATTTCTGTGCAATTCTAAGAAGAATTACGCGAGTTATTAAAGAGTTGCGTGTGGGCAGTTACTTCTGGGCCATATATATTATATATATGATGATTGGTATTGTTTTTATACATATCATGAAACGGATCGTTTGCCCGCCAATTTGATTTGTTTCAATTGTTCGAATTATATATATATATATTATGATTGGCTACTGGGACACGTCATACACACGGTTGGATTGTTAATTCGGTTGAAGTACCTTTACATCCATTATCACCATAATCTCAAATTATTTGTTATATAGTAGTGTTGAAAGTATTAAAATATATAATTAATATATAATTAATATATATATATGTACACATTAATATATATATATGTACACATACAAAATGAAACGACCGGTTGAGTCAGACAAATGTTCAATCATGATACAAAACCATGATATCATCAGTGACAACTGATGATATCATGGTTTTGTATCATGATTGAAACATTTGTCTGACTCAACCGGTCGTTTCATTTTGTATCTAGCTCTCAGCTTGCCGATTGAGCACTGTAAGCAGACGACGCCACCCACAATTATATATATGTACACATATCTTTTAGATTGCTGATTCATTAAGATTTGTGCTTTTGTTCCAATTTATCCCAAATTAAACCGATGTTAGTTGTTAAGTTGTAGGTGGCTGCTGTTTAAGCTTTACTGAGACACTACCATTAACAGTAAGGCAGCAAATGGAATGTTAAAAACAAGCACGACACACAAGAATAATCGATGTCTATTGGTTCTCATATCTTTCTTGCAAACAGGTTTGCAAGATTTCATCGAATGAATTTTTAAATTTGATATTTTTTACGGCCGTCATCTGATAATTACATCGGAAGCCCCAACTAATTAAGATGTTTAAATGGCGACGCATATTGCAGAGTGGGATACTTTGTTGATAAAATGTATCTTTCAGTGAGACTAGATATTATCAACACGGTTGGAGTAACCGAGGATTCTCAAAAGACTATCAGGTGTGACGCTGAGATATTTGTAGTTGTGGGTATTTGGGCTGGGTATGATGAAGATCCAGTCACTGATCTGTCTTCCTACTCCTGTTCTGAGTGGGATGAAACAACAGCTTACTTCATGGTGAGCTATTATACATGTGGATGGGGAAGTGAGGCATATTATCTGACACGTGACAGCAATTAACCAATTAGTATCTACTATTAACCAATGAAACGAGAATCACTGTAACGTGTCAAAATATGTGTTCCTCCTCCTTACTAGAATCCACATATTTATCAATAAATATGATACATATCAATATATAGGCTACATATTGATCATACCTAGATAAGGTTTCTAACAACATTGATAAATGAATCAAGGTTTAGTAATGATGGGGACTATGTTATTGTTCAGAACCCCCAGTCAGTTTTCAGTTTATCACCATAATTAAATATTTTCATATTGAGCTTAAATTACTAACTTGTGTATTATCATTAGAGTTCAAAGTATTCCAACTCTGAATTTCCTATAATATAATAATGTCTGATTACATACCATTCAGGAGCAATGTAACTACCAAAACAGCTGTGAAGTGACCGCTTCCTAATAATAATGTGTGATTACATACCATTCAGGAGCAATGTAACTATCAAAACAACTGTGAAGTGACCGCTTCCTACAGCACAGTTTTCAGCTCTTCAGAGCAAACCTGTGGCGATTCAGTCGGAAGGAAGCTCATCTTGCGGTTCCTCTGCTCAGCTACTTTCGATAAAATAGGTTACACCCCCCCCCACTCTTTAAGCAGTTTGGTAGAATTGAATAGTCTTCCAATTTGCGTTCATATTGAACTGAAGCAGGAATGAGAAAAACAATCTTAACAGTGTAGCTAAACAGATTTATCGTCCAACTTTACAAAATTAATACATTTTACTGACCTACAGTATAACACTTATTATACTTAAAGGGTTTATCACAACGGAAGCAAGAACAATCATAAGCTCGACAGCCTCATTCCCCTCCTCCGGATTATATCCTTGGTTTCATGACAGTTTCGTGATGAGATTATCTGAGAGTGGTGCCAACATAGTTGCTGTAAAAAGGGTTGTCATCTTGAAAACAGAGGATGGAAAATATGGTACGACTGATGCTATAATATGATTCCTACTTTTTTAGCTGTTTGTCCAAATATCTGTTGTTCTTAATCTTATATTATACAAAAGAGTCTTGGTGATTAGGAACTGATATTAAGATCATCCACACATTTATAAATCACTCGAAATCTGATAATTAATTTCCAGTTCTGGTAAGCTGGAACAAAGCAGCCTACTCTGTGAGTATCTACAACGAGTATACCGAGCAAACGATAGAATGTTCCAATGGACAAGTGGAACCAACAGACATGAAGGATAATTCCGCT